AGGCAGCTGTGAGTTTCTTGAGGACTGTCACGCTCTGCTTGTCTCAGGTATTTTATCAGTGGGCTGCAAGTTATAAGGAAATTTAATTTTTTTTTAGGAAATTTAATTTTATCTGCATTCCTCTTGCCTTTATTCTCATCATTCTCCCCCCTGAACAATGTTGACCCTTAAATCTTTTAAGGTTGCCGGGGGCGGCAGAAAGTCTTACCTTCTGTAACTTCTTCCTGCTGAAGAGGGGCGTGGAGATGTCTCTTCCTCTGGTCAACACTGGTCAGTTGGGGAATTTATTTAGAGAGGGATTTCGAAGGGCAGGGGGAGCCGAATCCAAGGTAGACAACATATATGCATCCAATGAGACAGATGTTTAACTTCTGATAGGAAAGAAGTCAGTTGACAATGACTAAAGTTCATAAATCAAGAGAATATTACAGGTAACGTATTTAGCTACTAGTGAGTGGGAAAATAAGTAACAAGACATTATGTAGAGTATGATTCCATTTTTATTTTTGAAATATATTTTTGGCATAAAATCGGTATGTGCAAACAAGAAGGCTTGGAAGGATACCCAGAAAAGTGTTCATAGTATTTATTCTTAGCACTGCAAGTGGGGATGAGGAAGATGTTTGTCTTTTACTTTTTACCTTTTTAAAAATATTATATGGGTTTTTCACAGTGAGCATGAATTTATTTTGTTAAAAAGAAATAGAGGTTTTCATCCTCAGAGATATCTGAAAAATGATCTTCAAGTGTCAAAATAAAAAACTTCCAAAAGGGAAGCTCTGTTGGTGCAGAATGAGAGAGAGGACAATTCCACTTCAGAACATTTCACCGAACATGTATGCAGAGGGAAGCGTCTGGCTCGAGTCCGTCCAGGAGTTATTGAAAGCACTAAGGATGTTTGGGTTGGAGAAGACAAGACATAGAGAAGATCAGGGGCTCTCCTCCAGTATTTAAAGGAGCATTCCATAACACATGCTTCTGGAGGAAGATGGGTTGGAATTACAGAGAGTCAGATTTTTATCTAGGGTAACAAAGAACTTCCCAAGGGTCCAAGTGGTCATTTTAAACCAGCTTTACCCCCTGGCTCTCCAGAAGACCATCTGCTGGGTTTGTCCCAGCTCTGGCTCTCAAACCAACTCTTTCCTCTTGCCAGATGTCTGATGCCAGCCCTTCACTCTAGCTCCTACTCTGCTTTCTTCCTCCCCCTTGGATCTGATGTTACAGAACTTCTCATCTTGGACACTGGCCAGCCTTTGCCCAGTGCTGTGGCTAGGAGCCAGCCCTTTCCACTCCATCCCCAGGTCCCTGTACCCAAGGACCCTCCCCCTGACTCTCACCTGTGAGGAGAAATCAGATGCTTAGCAACAAGGGAACTGGATGTTTCTGAAGGTAGTATGTCCCCCATTTCAAAGTTAGGGAAGCAAAATGGACAATACCTATTGAGAATTTTTTTTTTAATTTTATTTATTTACTTGACAACAGAGATCACAAGTAGGCAGAGAGGCAGGCAGAGAGAGGCAGGGGGAAGCAGGCTCCCCACAGAGCAGAGAGCCCGATGCAGGGCTCGATCCCAGGACCCTGGGATCATGACCTGAGCTGAAAGCAGAGGCTTTAACCCACTGAGACACCCAGGCGCCCCACCTATTGGGAATATTATTGAAAGGAAGTATATTAGTTGGAATTCTTTGTAAAATAACAAAATCTGGGGGTGCCTGGGTGGCTCAGTGGGTTAAGTAAGCCTCTGCCTTCAGCTCGGGTCATGGTCTCAGGGTCCTGGGATCGAGCCCTGCATCAGGCGCTCTGCTCAGCGGGGAGCCTGCTTCCCCCTCTGTCTCTCTCTTCCTGCCTCTCTGCCTACTTGTGATCTCTGTCTGTCAAGTAAATAAATCTTAAAAAAAAAAAAAGAAAGAAAAATCTGTCCTTGGCCAACTGGAGCAAAAACTGGAAGAACATTGAGTAGCTAGAAAGTCTGAAATTGAGTCCAGGTACCGGGAGAAGAATCGTGGTAGTTTCAACCCTTGAACCATCACTTCAAGGTGACATGTCTGGAATGGGTGAACCCCCATGTGTCATCAGTCTGTATTTTACCCCACTCAAGAGTCAAAGTCCCAGGAGCAGGAGTTTTGACTGACCAAGCTTATTCTATGTGCCGTGGCTCAGGCTGGGTAGGTGAGAGGCAGACTGCCTCTGAGGACCCCTCCAGTGCCCTCTTGGGGGAGCAGGACTTTTGACTTACAGTCCCTTCAAGCCCAAATGCAGTTGAGGGCAGGTAAGCTCTCCTAAGCACAAGAATCAGGGCCTGTCAGGAAAGGAGGGTGGATTCTGGGCAGCCAAAAGAACAACTCTAGGATAAATGTAGAACTAAATTAGAAGATCCTGGAATTTTGGAATTTTCAAGACTTTGAAAAAAAAAATTTTCTAACTAAATAATTTCATTAAAGCAAAATGACTGCTATCTACCATCACCATTGTTTCACAGAAAGAAGGTCATTAATACAAAAAAGGAGAAAAGGTAATATCAGAATAAAAGAAAAGCCTTCAAGCACATAATCTTACTCTGTGTCAGATTCATTGCAATATTTTTTTTCCTTGTTGCCCTCATTTCACTGGAGACCAGTGAACACAGATCAGCAGTTTGGCGGTAGAGTTTTAGGAATCATTGGGCTAAGTGGTCTGTAGGTTCCTTACTAGCCTCAAGTTTCTGTGAACCCAGTGGGATCCTGCTGTTAAACAGTGTTTCTCCACTGGGGGCAAGTTTGCCCCCCGAGGAGACTTGGCCACACCTGGAGACATTTCAAGTCATCACAGCTGGGTGGTGGTGGAGGAGAGAGAGTCCTACTGGCATCTAGAGACCAGGGATGCCACCGAGCATTGTACTGTGCACAACACAGCTCCCGCCACAAAGAATGATCTGGCCCAACACGTCAAAGTGGTGAGGTTAAGAGACCATCTATAGATAGAAAAAAAAAAAATCTCATGAAGCAATTAAAATGGAAAGTACTAGAGAATAGTGCACTCAGCTGTTGTCACAGCCCTTATTCACGAGGCAGACTTTTAGTTAAATTTTATCAGTTTCTTTAACGACAAAAGGAGTACATACTCATTATTGACATTGTTGGAAAAAGGCAGAGGAATAATAAGCAAGGAAAACAAATCACTCTTGGCCCCAGCCAGTTCTCTCTCCTGAGATACTTTCTCTCAACTGTAGTGCATCCAAAGCAGACTTTTGGATTTTCCCACCCCAGTCACCTGTTCCATCCCAGTTCCTCTCACCGGAGCAACTGGCACCTACACCTTCAGACTCATCCTTGACTTCTCCTCACACTCGCGTCGAGTCCTCCAGCAAATCCTCACAATTCTACTTTCACAGCCGATTGCCAATCCCATCACTTGTCACCCCTCTCTGCAACTGCTCCGCTCAGTCCCAGCCTAACACCTTCCATCCCTGCAGAGACCTCTTGACCACTCCTCACAGCTGCTTTCACCCATGGCAAGCCTCTCTCTACACACACCAATGAAAGGGAGCGGTAGGAAATGAATCCAATTCTGTGGAACCTTCCAGTGGCTTCCATGACACTTCAAAAAGATCCTCATTCCTTACCTCCTCGTGGCCCTCCCTGACCACCCCATGGAAAAGATTCCTCTCCTCCCCAGGCTCCCTTCCCACCACCCTCCACCCCTTGCCCAGCTTGATTCTTTTTTTTTTTTTTTAAGATTTTTATTTATTTGTTTGACAAACAGAGATCACAAGTAGGCAGAGAGACAGGCAGAGAGAGAGGGAGGAAGCAGGTTCCCTGCCGAGCAGAGAGCCCACAGAGAGCCCGAACAGAGCCCGCAGAAAGCCTAATGCGGGGCTCAATCCTAGGACCCTGAGACCATGACCTGAGCCGAAGGCAGAGGCTTAACCCACTGAGCCACCCAGGTGCCGCCCCCACCCCCGCCAGCTTGATTCTTCTCCAAAACATCACTTCTTCCATAATGTCACGCTATTCCTTTATTCGTGGAATTGTTTATTGTCTTCGTCTCAACTCTAATGCAAGCTCCACGAGGGCTGGCTGAGTCTCTAGCGCTTAGGACAGTGTTTATACATGTTCGTGACCCAATAAATATTTGCTGAATGAATCATTAACATTTTGGTAACTATGCTTTCCAGTTTCCTATCTTTCTTTTGAACTGATTTGTTTCACAGAAAACATATAATGCCATATTCCCAACTTTGCATCTCAATTTTTAAATTATTTTTTTTATTTTGTGTTTTTAAAGATATTTATTTATTTATTTATTTATTTATTTATTTATTTGAGAGAGTAAGCGGGAGACAGCAGGCATTGGGGGAGGACCAGAGGGAGGGACAGGCTGTCCGCAGATCACAGAGCCCAACTCTGGGTTTGATCCTGGGCCCCTGAGATCATGACCTGAGCCGAAGGCAAACGCCTAACTGAGCCACCTAGTGACCCCACATCTCAATTTTTTAATTTACTATTAGATCTGAAGCTGTTTCTTAGGACCAGCTCTTCATAAACATTTAATGGCAGCATAACTATTCCTTGGGATAGAAATATCAATATCTTCGGGGCGCCTGGGTGGCTCAGTGGGTTAAAGCCTCTGCTTTCGGCTCAGGTCATGATCCCAGGGTCTTGGGATCGAGCCCTACATCGGGGCTCCCTGCTCAGCAGGGAGCCTGCTTCCCCCTCTCTCTCTGCCTGTCTCTCTGCCTACTTGTGATCTCTCTCTGTCAAATAAATAAATAAAATCTTAAAAAAAAAAGAAATATCAATATCTTCTTGAACATTCGGATTATTCTAATCTTTTGCTATAGTCAGTATCTCTGCAGCAAGCATCCTAGTACTTGAATCTTTTTTCTTGAATTTGAGTAATTTCTTTAGGATAGCATCCTAAAATTGGAGTTACTGGATAAAGAACATTATTACCTTTACGTTTCTTAATCCATGCTGTAACAATGACAGTATATAACTTTTTCCACTCTCTTTCCCAATCAGTCTCACCCAGCGTGCAAAAGCCCTGAGCTGACTTCAAACTTCTTCAACATTTACGGGAAGAGTCCTCTGATTGTGTACTTCCTCCACAACTACGCCCACCTGCCCCAGGGTGGTGAAGACGTGTTGATAGTCAGGAGCGAAAGAACCAGGAGCATCCCATATCCTTTCTGCCACAGGAGGGGCACATGTTTCTCCAGGCCCTGCTGCTTCTGCCTCCGAGAAGCAAGGGTGTGGAAAGGCACCCGGCCCTTAGCTCAGTGCCTGGTACAGTGTGTGCCCATCAAGGGTAGTCGTTGGTAGGAGCCGAAGACTCAGAATGTTGAGCATTTTAGTTCCAAGTCGGCCTCATAAACTGGCTGCCTGGGATCCCAGGCAAGTCAGATTTCCCTGGGTGCAAAATCTCTTCCTGCTAACTAGGTACTCGAACATACTTTGCCGTTCAATAATGACTCCCCTGTGCTCATTGACCCCAGAGTCTGTATTGATCGGGATTTGGGGCCCAGATGTGTGTTTCTTGTAACATCCTCGTCATACACACACACACACACACACACACACGCACGCACGCACGCACACACCCTCCTCCAGACCCATCAGCAAATCTCTGGCACAATTGGCATTGGTAACCAACTTAACCAACCAACTTAAAGATTCGGTAACCCAACTCAGATCTTAAGAATTAACAGATGTGACCAGTTGGTGTCCTGAGACCTAGCATTTTCTTATAGGGAGGGGTCAGACATGGGATCAAGTCAACCCAGACTCAAGCACCAAGTCAGCGGCTGACCAGCTCACCTCACTGCTCTGTAGTGTAGTACAGTAGGAGGAGCCTGGGTTGGGGATACACAGCCCCAGATTTGAGTCCAGCTCAGCAACGCATTGGACTTAAGATCTTAGGTGCACAGCTTGACCTCTGAGCTCAATAGCTTTATCAAGTTCTTTGTAAAATAAGGATAATTAGGGGCGCCTGGGTAGCTCGTTCAGATAAAGCATTCAACTCTTGGTTTCAGCTTAGGTCATGATCTCAGGGTCATGGGATCGAGCCCTGCCTCAGGCTCTGTGTTCAGTGTGGAGCACACTGTCCCTTGCCCTCTGCGCCTCCTCCTGCTCTCTCTGTCTCAAACAAACAAACAAATAAATAAATAAATGAAATCTTTTTTTTTTCTTTTAGATTTTATTTATTTATTCGACAGAGATCACAAGTAGGCAGAGAGGCAGGCAGAGAGAGAGAGAGAGGAGGAAGCAGGCTCCCCACCGAGCAGAGAGCCCAATTCGAGGCTTGATCCCAGGATCCTGGGATCATGACCCGAGCCGAACGCAGAGGCTTTAACCCACTGAGCCACCCAGCTGCCCCAATAAATGAAATCTTAAAAAATAATTATAATTGTAATATTATAATTATAAAAATTATAATTTATATTATATAATTTATATTATATTATATATTATATTATATTATTTATAATAAATTATAAAAATAAGTATAATTATACCAAACCAATAGTGTTATGATCAGGATTAAATGGCATATGGCTGGTTCTAAATAATAACGGTCATAATTATTAACATCGTCGAAGGCGGAATTATTATCCTTATTTTATAGATCGGAAAATAGGGACATAGAGGATGACTCATGTTGGATGGAAATACCAAACGCCTGAGATTCTGACCAATGCAGAAGGGGTAGAGAGGTGGGGGAGGCCCAGAGGGCTTTCCAACATACAAACATGATATTGAGAATGAGGTCTTGAGACTGAAAGTTGGAATCCCTTCCTCTTCACCACTGTGATCATAGAGTAAGAATAGTATTTATTTGCTTTATTTTTTATTGAGATATAGTTGACCCACAACATATTAGTTTCAGGAGTACGACACAGTGATACTATGAAAAGATTCCCGTGATAAGTGGAGTTGCCACCTGTCACCTACAGAGTGAGAATTTTAGATGAGTCTGAAAAGAGGATTTCCTAGCCCTTCCATCAGCAGGAGGAGAGAAGGGCTGTGTTAAAAGACCAGGAATGGCCCAGCCATTGGGGAGGATAGCCCCTTGCCTTCCCCTATGGTCAGAGGCCAGGAGTCCTTTCCTGCTCAGATTTCAGTGATGTGGTCCCGAAACAGGTCATTTCCCCCCTCTGCCATCTCATCACCCCGCTCCTCTCCATGCGGTAGGCCGTCTTGCTGGTAACACTCAAGAGTCAATACCAACCGACAGTGTGAGCTTTTCCTTGACGGCCAATGCCACTGAGTCCATGCTGACGTATGCTGAGGTCATTGACCTGACCCTGAGCAACATGAAGAAACGGAGGGACAACTTCCACCACCTGAAACGGCTCCACTGGAATGAATGGAAGTATTTTGATGTGTATCTAAGGGAACTGCAAGAAAACTTCCTCAGGTATTTAAGGGGCTTTAGGGAAGGGACATTGTTTGAGCATCTGCCTGTTCTTGCACATGACAATTAAAAAAAATTTTTTAAGATTTTATATATTTATTTTTTAAATTAACATATAATGCATTATTTGCCCCAGGGTACAGGTCTGTGAATCATCAGGCTTACACATTTCACAGCACTCACCACAGCACATACCCTTCCCAGTCACCATCACCCAGCCACCCTATCCCTCCCCCAAACCCCCACAGCAACCCTCAGTTTGTCTCCTGAGGTTAAGAGTCTCTTATGGTTTGTCTTCCTCCCCAGTCCCATCTTGTTCCATTTTTTCCTTTCCTACCCCCCACAGTCCCCCTGCCCTGCCTCTCAAATTGTTCATATCAGAGCGATCATATGATAATTGTCTTTTTCTGATTGTCTTATTTCACTCAGCGTAATACCCTCTAGTTCCGTCCCTCTAGTTCCGTCCACATAGTTGCAAATGGCAAGATTTCATTTCTTTTGATGGCTGCATAGTATTCCATTGTATATATATATATATATATATATATATATATATATATATACCACATCTCCTTTATCTGTTCATCTGTTGATGGACATCTGGGTTCTTTCCATAGTTTGGCTATTGTGGACATTGCTGCTATAAACATTGGGGTGCATGTGCCCCTTCAGATCACTACATTTGTATCTTTAGGGTAAATACTCAGTAGTGCAATTGCTGGGTGATAGGGTAGCTCTATTTTCAACTTTTTGAGGAAACTCCACGCTCTTTTCCGGAGTGGCTGCACCAGCTTGCATTCCCTCCAGCAGTGTAGGAGGGTTTCCCTTTCTCTGCAAAAGATTTTATTTTTAAGTAATCTCTACACCCAGTGTGGGGCTTGAACTCAGAATCCTAAGACCGAGTAGCACATTCCACTGACCAAGCCAGTCAGGCACCCCTGCACATGAAAATTTTTTTTACATGCATTTTATTTATTTTTTAAAAATATTTTATTTATTTATTTGACAGAGCGAGAGCACAAGTAGGCAGAGCAGCAGACAGAGAGTGAGGGGGAAGCAGGCTCCCCGCTGAGCAGGGAGCCCGATGCTGGGCTCGATCCCAGGACCCTGGGACCATGACCTGAGCCAAAGGCAGAGGCTTTAACCCACTGAGCCACCTAGGTGCCCCTTTTACATGCATTTTAAGGATTTATTTATTTTATTTTGAGAGAGAGAGAGCAAGAGCAGGAGTGGGAGTACAGAGGGAGAGAGAGAATCTTGGGCAGAGCTCCTGCTGAGTTTAGAGCCCGACATGGAGCGGGTCTCATGACCCTGAGATCACCCACGACCTGAGCTAAAACCAAGAGTCAGACCCTTAATGGACTGCACCACCCACTCATCCCTGCACATGGTAATTTTTAATTGGGGGCCTAGCCCTGGGACTATCTTAGGCACGTTTCTTGTGGTCAGAATATAAATGCCACAGTAACAGAGACCAGATCTTTCTTTTAAAGTTATTTTTTCCTAACTACAAAAACATTTATGTCCAATGATAACAAACAAACAAACCTGGAAAAGCACCTGGAGACATACGTTGCCAACATTTTTCTATAAATCCTTCCCGTCTTTTCGCCTGGGCCCGTAGAGGTGTATCTTTAGACAAAAGTAGTAGAGTCATACCATCAATCTGGTTTTTAGACTTTGTTTTCCCACTTAGCTGCTTATGATGGATATTTTCCTATGCCTTCTGACTTTTTCAGTATTTTTATTTTCTTTAGAAAATTTTCAGACCTTCCAGAAATGTTGAAAGGATGGTGCAGTGAACACCATATGCCCACACTGAGTTTACCAATTATCCACTTTTTGCCACATTTTCTTTCTCTCTCTAGTAATTAGGTCAAATTCAAATTTCCCCGGTGGTGCCCAAAATATCCTTTTTGGTTTTACCTGCTGCTCCAGGATCCGATCAAGGATTGGGAACTAGATCTTGCTGTTATATCTCTTTGGGGCCTTTTCATTGATAACAATGCCCTACCGCCACCTTTGTTGTTATGCCCTGAATCAATGGTTACATTATTATTATTATTTTATGACATAGAGTATTTTGAAACACTCAAGCCACATTCTGGATTTTTCTAATTATTTCTTCAGGGTATCATTTAACTTATTCCAAAATGCCCTATATTTCTCATAAACTAGACATGGGGTGATACTAGGTGCTTGATAGGGTTCAGGAAACACGTCATAGATGATGTTGTGTGTGCGTAGTACATGGCATCGGGAGACACTCAATGTCAAGTCAGCCAGACAGGTGCTCTCTGCTAGACCTCTCCATTCTAAGATCCCTGTTTTTTGTTTTTTTTTTAAGATTTTATTTATTGATTTGACAGAGAGAGATCACAAGTAGACAGAGAGGCAGGCAGAGAGAGAGAGAGAGGGAAGCAGGCTCCCTGCTGAGCAGAGAGCCCGATGCGGGACTCGATCCCAGGACCCTGAGATCATGACCTGAGCCGAAGGCAGCGGCTTAACCCACTGAGCCACAAGGCGCCCCAAGACCCCTGTTTTATGTAGTTCATCTGTAATAACTGGTGTGATTCTTTGAGACTGAATGAATCTGCGCTCCCCAAACCCAACGCCCAGCGGTTGTAGCATCCACTGATGCTCTTTGCCTGGGTCAGTTATGACAGCTGGGGTTGCAGAATAGTGATTTTCTACTTCCACTCCCTTCTCCCTTTCTTAGCTGGAACTTTTTTTCTAAAGAGCTCACCTTCTTCTTTTGCTCCTTATCTCTCTCTCATGTCTTCTCCACCTGCTCCCATAACTCTCTCACGTGGACATCTGGCTGCAAAAGAAGCTCAGGAAATATTTGGCAAAGAGAAATGAGATCTCCATGCCTGAACCAGAGCGGAACTGCCTGGGCACTTCATTACCCAAAATAACACTGGATTCAGTTAGCGGGGGAGAAAGGGGGTACTGCTGTCGGCCAGACACAGCCGGTGGAATCTGCCATTGTAGGAGAGAAATGAAACAATGAACACATTGGTAACTGTTTTACAAAGTGATACAGTAGCATTATTTCCAAATGAGATACACACAAAAACACACAAACCTGTTAAGCACCAGCCCCACAAAAATGCAGTTCTGCCTAAATGTCCATCAAAAGGTGTTTGGTTAATCAGCTATCATATGTACGTGCTCTGCCGCCAAGAAAAATGGCCATGTCGATCTAGTATTCTTATTTTATAAGGAATGATGGTCATAACATATTATTGGACCAAAAAAAAAAATCAGGGTATAAAATTGTGTAAGAAGCACAGTTATTTATCTCCGTTTTACAGAAGCCAAGGTCAAGGACAGAAACTTAGAGGGCAACCGCATATGTGGGGAGGACAAAATATGGGGCCACAGAGAAGGAGTGGCCAGAAGGAAAGGAGAGCCTGCGTGTGAAGGCACAGCAGCCACAAAGCTGAGGGAGGAAAGGGCCAAGGGTAGTAGCGGTCAGCAGTGGGGGTGCCACATGTAGAAGCCCTGGGCTGAGACAGGTTTGGTGATCTGGCAGAGAGTGGTCTTAACTGGTCAGACACCAGAGCCTGGGACTTTGGGGGAAAGGTGTGGCCCCCCCATGGGTGAATGAGACTACTAGGAGGCAGAAGGAGCGAAATTATGCACCAAAAAGGACAAGATTGGATGGGGAGTAGCAGGGCTCTTTCATTGTCAAGTGGAGACCCAAGGCCATGTGAAGCCAGAGAGTTTGGAGAGATTGGAAAAATGCAGGTAAGGGAGGATAGGGTCAGGATCAAGGAAGGGAGAGGACCCAGGAGCCATTTGGGGTTTTTTTTGTTTTTGTTTTTGTTTTTAATTTTAGTTATTGGGGTGCCTGGGTGGCTCAGTCAGTTAAACGTCTGCCTTCGGCTCAGGTCATGATCCTGGAGTCCCAGAATCTAGCCCCGCATCTGGCTCCCTGCTCAGCAGGGAGTCTGCTTTCCCCTCTGTCCCTTACCCTGCTTGCTCGAGTGCTCTCACTCTTTCTCACTCTGTCTCTCTCTCAAGTAAATAATAAGATCACAAATAAACCTTCCATTTTCTATTCCTTTGGCTGGAACTTACGTTGGCTGGAACTTAGCCCCCATAGTCACACCTTAGCTATGGCATGAGCAAGGCAAAAATAATTTAAATTTAATAAAAATAATATTAAATTTATTCAAGATTAAGTCTACAGTATATGTATTTCAGAAATACATAAGGACATCCTTGTTTAATAAAGGCGTCCTTATAGGGTGAATTATAGTATAGTATTTTAAGTCAGTAGAAACTTTGTAATTATGTGTTAGCAATCTCATTGCTAAATATACCCACTTTTGGGTAAGGCATTATCGAGAAGCTCAGCATGCCTTCTGTTAATAAAGTGATTCTCAAAATTTGTGTCTACAAAAGAAAATGATGGACTTGAAACACATCTGTGCCATTAGGGGCACCTGGGTAGCTCAGTGGGTTAAGCATCTGACTTTTGATTTTGGCTCAGGTCATGATCTCAGGGTCCTGGATGGGGTCCTGCATTGGCAGGCTCCAAGCTCAGTGGGGAGTCTGCTTGAGATTCTCTCTCTCCCCCTCTCCCCTGCCCCTCCCCTCACTCACTGTGCTCTCACCCTCTCTCTCTAAAATAATCTTAAAAAAACAAAAAAAAAACCCACATCTGTGCTGTTAGACATCAAAGCAGAGCTACACCCAGGGAAATAGGGTTTGCCTGAGTAGGGTACAGATGAGGGGGCTTCTGGGGAGCTCGCAGTGTTCCATTTCTTGATAGGGGTGCTTAGTCCATGAAATCTCCTAGAGCTGCACATTTAGAGTCTATGAATTCTTTGCTATCTGTGTTCTGAAGGAACATACTAAGGAACTCCTTGTACTGGTATATCCTTTTTCTTTGTAGAGATATTATAATGGTTTTGTAGTTATCTATTTTTTTTATTTTTTCTTATTTTTTTTTATAAACATATAATGTATTATTAGCCCCAGGGCTACAGGACTGTGAATCGCCAGGTTTACACACTTCACAGCACTCACCATAGCACATACCCTCCCCAATGTCCATAACCCCACCACCCTCTCCCTACCCTCCTCCCCCCAGCAACCCTCAGTTTGTTTTGTGACATTAAGAGTCTCTTATGGTTTGTCTCCCTCCTGATCCCATCTTGTTTCATTTGTTCTTTTCCTACCCCCCAAACCCCCCAAGTTGCATCTCCACTTCCTCATATCGGGGAGATCATATGATAGTTGTCTTTCTCTGATTGACTTATTTCCCTAAGCATAATACCCTCTAGTTCCATCCACGTCATCGCAAACGGCAAGATTCCATTTCTTTTGATGGCTGCATAGTATTCCATTGTATATATATACCACATCTCCTTTATCCATTCATCTGTTGATAGACATCTAGGTTCTTTCCAAGTTTAGCTATTGTGGACACTGCTGCTATAAACATTCGGGTGCATGTGCCCCTTCAGATCACTACGTTTGTATCTTTAGTGCGATTGCTGGGTCATAGGGTAGCTCTATTTTCAACTTTTTGAGGACCCTCCATGCTATTTTCCAGAGTGGTTGCACCAGCTTGCATTCCCATCAACAGTGTAGGAGGGTTCCCCTTTCTCCACATCCTCGCCAGCATCTGTCATTTCCTGACTTGTTAATTTTAACCATTCTGACTGGTGTGAGGTGGTATCTAGTTGTGGTTTTCATTTGTATTTTCCTGATACTGAGTGATGTGAAGCACTTTCTTATGTGTCTGTTGGCCATCTGGATGTCGTCTTTGCAGAAATGTCTGTTCATGTCTTCTGCCCATTTCTTGACTGGATTATTTGTTCTTTGGGTGTTGAGTTTGCTAAGCTCTTTATAGATTTTGGATACTAGCCCTTTATCTGATAATGTCATTTGCAAATATCTTCTCCCATTCGTAGTTATCTATTTTTTTAAAGGAGTCAAATCTGGGGCCGCCTGGGTGGCTCAGTCAGTTGAACGTCTACCTTTGGCTCAGGTCATGACCTAGGGTCCTGGGATGGAGCCCCACGGCAGGCTCCTTGCTCAGCAGGGAGCCTGCTTCTCCCTCTGCCTACTGCTCTCCCTGCTTGTGCAATCTCTCTCTCTCTCTAGCAAATAGATAAATAAAATCTTAAAAAATAAACAAAAAATAAAAGTGTCATGTCTGAAAGAGATACCTAATGAAGTGTTTCTGGATGAGATGACATGGTATCTAGGCTCTTCTTGAAAATCGCCCATGTGGGGTGGGAATGGAGGGGTGCGAAGGGAGTAATGGATGTTTCAAGATTAATCTTATGTTGGTAACTATTGAAGCTAAATAATGGGTAAATGGTGTTGATTGTGCAATTTTCATTACTTTTATATATATTTTTAAGCTTTTTTTTTTAATGGTAGCCATAACAAAAACAAAAGGTGTCAAATGCCCATATGGACTATTACTTGCACATGGGCTAGGACTCCTTTGGGACCTCAGTTACCATCTTATTTCCCAAATAGAGTATATCAGTAGGAAACACTGGCTTTGTAGTTGGACAGACTGAAGCTCTGTCTCACTCTCTATCTGAATTATGTCCATCACAGCCTGTGTGAGGCTTGGTTACTGTCTGTAAACAGGGACACAGAGTAGCTGTGGGAGAATGGAGATGTCTAGCTCTGTGCCTGGCTCAAAGAAAGTGCTCAGTAAATGCCAATGGCCAGAGATAATACCTGTGACCCCGTGCCATGGAAATTGCAGGGTCCAAAGCAGTGCAGGACTCAGATTTGAAAGTCTGTGATTGGGGAGACCTGGAGCAGCCCCTATTAGAAAAGGCAATCCAGGGGCACGTGGGTGGCTCAGTAGGTTAGGCATCTGCCTTCAGCTCAGGTCATGATCTCAGGGTCCTGGGATTGAGCCCCACATCGGGCTCCCTGCTCTGTGGGTAGCCTGCTTCTCCCTCTCCCTCTGCTGCTGCTCCTGCTTATGCACTCTCTCTCTCTCTCTCTCTCTCTCTCTTAAATAAATAAAATCTTTAGAAAAAGAAGAAGTAGAAGAAAAGAAAAGGCAATCCAGGGGTCCCTGCTGTAGGTAGAGGAAGAGCCGAGTTCGCCTGTGCAGGCGAGGCATGCTTTGAGGGAACAGGGTCTCTGGCTGCTGGAGAACTTTATTGACATGTAAGTCCAGAGCCCTGATCCTCAAACTTGTCTGGGCACAGAGCACCCATAATTCAGAATGCTCTTTGCAGAACCCCATGAAACGTTTTCAACATATGATTCTGTCACATAAACTAAAGATGGTTTTTCTCGTGCAAAATATGAGCCTAAGGTATGTGTGGGTTTCAACATCTCAAGAAGTAACACTATAGAAAATATCATCAAGAAATTTCTTCAGTGATTTTCTGTTAGAAAATGTGATCATCAGGGGCGCCTGGGTGGCTCAGTGCATTAAAGCCTCTGCCTTTGGCTCAGGTCATGATCCCAGGGTCCTGGGATCGAGCCCCACATCGGGCTCTCTGCTCAGCAGGGAGCCTGCTTCCTCCTCTCTCTCTGCCTGCCTCTCTGCCTACTTGTGATTTCTGCCTGTCAAATGAATAAATAAAATCTTAAAAAAAGAAAATGTGATCATCAGGGCACCTGGGTGGCTCAGTCAGTTAACCATCTGCCTTTGGCTCAGGTCATGATCCTGGGGTCCTAGGATGGAGCCCCACATCAGGCTCCCTGCTCAGCTGGGAATCTGCTTCTCCCTCTCCCTTGCCCCTCCCCCGGCTCATGTTCTCTCTTGCTCACTCTCTCTTTCTCTCTCGAATAAATAAATAAAATCTTTTTAAAAATGTGATCATAACAAGGACAAATGCAATTTGCTGCTGTTCGATCCTAAAAGTAAGAATGTTGTGTCAACAGAATTTCTTCCTTTGACTTGGAAAAAGATGCCCATTGTTAAAATAACCATTGGCTTTGATACAGGCAGGTTGAGTCTGAGGACCCAGGGGAGGGTTCCCCAGGACAGCCAAGAGGGTCCTGGCTTCACACAGGATAGAAATCAAATGCGAGAGAGAAAGTGGAAACAGAGTTTATGAAATAGTCTAAATGACAGGTTGAAAATAGCAGAATGTCTGGGAGACTTGGAAAGAAAAGGAGAAGAAGGAGACTTGTCATTGCCTGGGGTTAGGGATTTCTATTGGAAAGGGGTCTAGGGTACTTGTTCCTTCAGGAATCCAGGGTAGGCCCCAGTCAGAGGTGAGTGTTGGGTGAAAACAGGTGTTATTCCATAAATTACCGCAGGTGGGGGTATTGATGCCAGTGTCAGCCTGGAACGTGTTTGGGATCTGGTGCTGCTTTGACATTATTAGGTGTTTGGGGCCTAGGAAACAATTCAGAGAATGATTAATTATCTTGATTCCCCCTTGAAGTGGGAACATAGCTTCTTTGGCTTATTCTGAAATGGGGCCTAGTGGAAAACCAGCAGAGATAGAGCCTTTCTAAAATGGAGTCCCTTCAGGGCCTCCCGGGTAGCTCAGTCGGTTGGGTGTCCCATCAGGCTGTGAACTTGCGTCATGGGATCGAGCCCTACCTTGGCCTCTGTTCTCAGCACGGAGTCCGCTTGACCCTCTCTCTCCACTCCTCCCCCCACTTGCACATGTGTTCACACACTTTCTCTCTCTCAAATAAATAAATAAATAAATAAAATCTTAAGGAAAAAAAATAGGGATGCCTGGGTGCCTCAGTCACTTGAGGATTTGACTTCAGCTCAGGTCATAATCTCAGGGTCCTGGGATGGAGCTCATGTTGGACTCTGTGCTCAGCGGGGCGTCTGCTTCTCCCTCACCCTCCGCTCCTCCCCCACTCATGCTCTTTCTCTCTCTCAAATTAATAAAATATTTAAAATAAATAAATAAATAAAATAATAAAATAAATGGAATCCCTTCAGCTTCCCTACCTCAGTTCAGGCCAAGATCACTGCTATTTTTTTTTAATACCCATCTTTCTGCCTCTATCCTTCATCAGCAGAGAAGTATATGACAGACTCTTAATTCATACAAATACATTTTTATTGCTATTCTGTCGACCCTGAGTGCCCGCAACCTGCTTCATCATCAAGTAAATGTCTGCTCACATGCAAAAGTCAGCTGGTGTATCACCCAATTCCTTTTCCCCTTTGTGTGCCCCATGCTTATCTCAACACACTCCACGGAAAACCGTCTTCTGTAAGAACACCAGCAGCACAGGGCACTTCTGGGGCACTTCCTTTATTTGTGGTGTACCAGACACTGAGCTAAGCACTTGACCTGTGGCAACTCAGTTAACCTTCGCCACAACCCTAGGTTCAATTATCACCAAGTTGAGATGGGTACACTGGCAGGGAGAGGTTAAGTAATTTGCCCAAAGTCACACAGCAAGCAGCAGATCCCCAACTTGAATTCAGCTTGCCTTCAGATTTTGGCTTTCTTTCAGACTGTTGATTTTTTTCCCGTCCTCCTAATTTGAGTGTATGTTCCTTGAATTCAGCGACCACGTCTTATTCCTATCTGTGTCCCCAAGCACTGACATGACCCCTAGCACACTGCAGGGGCTCCGGACTCACAGTCCTCTCTCTGCTTGCTCTTGAATGAATAAGTCTGTAAATATTTCTCTCTCTTTACATATGAAAATAGGAGTGAAAAGCTCAGGCTGACTCTTCAGTATTTTTCCATATGTGCCTTTATGATTTCCCCACAGGGATGTGAAGAATATCGATCAAAGAGCATTAGAGCGAAAGAAGACAAACCACATGTTCATCCCACCTTCCACCTTGGTTGAGGACTCCTTTGACAAGAAATCTAGAGGAAGTCCTGAGAGGGAGACTGCATTTCTTTTAAGGTTTGTTCCGACAAAGACCATGGACAAGTGGAAATATGAATACTGTTAGAATTTTTTTATTTTAAGTGGACTCCACACTGGATGTGGAGCACAACATGGGGCTTGAACTCACAACCCTGGGATCAAGGCCCAAGCTGAGATCAAGAATCAGATGCTTAACTGACTGAGCCACCCGGGCACCCTGTCTGAATACTTTATTCTTTTTTAATTTATTTTTTATTAACATATAATGTATTATTTGTTTCAGGGGCACAGGTCTGTTCATCAGTCTTACACAACACCCAGCACTCACCACAACACATAACCCACACCACTGTCCATCATCCAGCCACCCTCTTTTTTTTTTTTTTTTAATGATTATATTTATTGGGGCACCTGGGTGGCTCACTCAGTTAAGTGTCTGCCTTCAGCTCAGGTCAGAATCCCAGGGTCCTGGGATCAAGTCCCGCATCAGGCTCCCTGCTCAGTGGGGAGCCTGCTTCTCCCTCTCCCTTTGCTCCTCCCTATTGATCATGTTCTCTCTGTGTCAAATAAATAAATAAAACCTTTTTTAAAAACCCCCAAAACTTAACATTCCTTAAAAAAAAACATTTTAAGTGATTTTTTAAATAATTATTATTACTTTATAATATTACTGAGGGGTAATTTACCATAAAATTTGCTCATTTGAAGTACCCAATTCGATTAACTTTAGCAAATTTACAGTTTGGCAACAATTGCTGCCATCCCGTTTAAAAACTTTTTCATCACCCCAGAAAGATCCCTCATGCTCAGTTGTAGTCAATCACTGTTACCCTCTCCCTTTCTAATAACCTCCCTGGAAGTACCATTTAACATTGCCACTTTATTTCAAGGGTTGGATATTAGTCACATGGTGATGTTCGTTTCAGCGGAGGCTGGGAAATGTAATTTATTTATTTATTATTTTTTAAAAAGATTTTATTTATTTATTTGACACAGAGAGATCACAAGTAGGCAGGGAGGTAGACAGAGAGAGAGGGGGAAGTAGGCTCCCCGTTGAGCAGAGAGCCCAATGCAGGGCTCAACCCCAGGATCCCGAGATCATGACCTGAGCCAAAGGCAGAGGCTCAATCCGCTGAGCCACCCAGGCGCCCCTGGGAAATGTAATTTAAAAAAAATCTGGGCACATTGCCATTTTAAACAAAAGCTGGCTCATTCTTCCATTAAAGAAAAAGGGAGAGCAGACGATGGGTTGGTAACTAGCCATCTCAACACAGATAGATGGTGTTATCCTATCCATTTTAGAGAAGAAACCAAAGCTTAATGAGTTGAGAAAGCTCTCAGAGCTTTAAAACCCAGCTTAGGCATCACCTCCAGGAAGTCTCCCCTGACTTGCCTACTCAGGGTACCCGTTATGTGCCCTGTGCTTTCCTTTTCATGCTCCATAGATCTTAGCCTACTCAATCATAGTTCCTTGTCCATCTCCCTAGACTGAATATTTGGCCTCAAAGAATCTTGCCCTGGGTGATCTTGTTTTCCTGGGGCCAAGTCCAGAGCCTTTTAGGCACCCAACAGTGCCTAAAAGACAGATGATGGGATCGTGCACTGCGTTCAGCATTCTGGTCTGGTTATTTACTGTCGCCGTTGTTGGTCCCTTTGTAAACGTCTCCTGTCAATATCTAACAGGATTCCAGTGACACCTTTGAAGAAATCACACTGAATTTTTGATCCAATTTTTATTAACTGTTTTTTTTTTTTTAATTTCCCCCACAGGAAGGAAAAGGAGGAGAGGCAGAGAGAAGTAAGAGAGAAGCTGGACCGCTCTCCCTTGTCACTATCAGACCTTGACTAATTCTCTCCCCTGGAACTGGGAAGCTCCCTCAGGAGCCCTGATATTTCTACCAGGTAGGACAAAACAACAGGAGAAAAAGGAAACTGTGGCCAAAGACTGAGACACAGAAATAGCTATAGCCAGGATGAGGGGAAATATTCCATCATAGTTGTTCCTAGGCTGAGTGAAAAGCAGGAGTGCAGAGGTTTTGCTTGGGGCACTGAGTCTAGTCACGCCTTTACTCTTACCCATTATTTTATTTTAAATATTACAACTAACAGTATTAAACTATAATGTAATAATGGCTTGGGGCGCCTGGGTGGCTCAGTGCTTAAAGCCTCTGCCTTCGGCTCAGGTCATGATCCCGGGGTCCTGGGATCGAGCCCCGCATCGGGCTCTCAGCTCGGCGGGGAGCCTGCTTCCTCCTCTCTCTCTGCCTGCCTCTCTGCCTGCTTGTGATCTCTGTCTGTCAAATAAATAAATAAAATTTTTTTAAAAAATGGCTTTAGTTGTTAACTAAACAAGTAAGCTCAACGCATGACAGACATCACCTTATTTTGACCTTCATAACAGCCGTATGAGGGAGACATGACCCACTGCATTTTACACAGCAGCAAGCCCAGGTTAGAAAAGGTTTCAGGGGGACGCCTGGGTGGCTCACTCAGTTAGGCATCTGCCTTCGGCTTGGGTCATGATCTCAGGGTCCTGGGATCAAGTCCCTCTTCGGGCTCCCTGCTCGGCAGGGAGTCTGTTTCTCCTTCTGCCTGCTGCTCCCCCTGTTTGTGCTCTCTCTCTCTCTCTGACAAATAAAATGAATTTAAGCAAAGAAAGAAAAGGTTTCAGGGACGCCTGGGTGGCTCAGTCAGTTAAGTGTCCAACTCTTGATTTCAGCTCTGGTCATGATCTTAGGGTTGTAAGATGGAGCCCTGTGTCAGGCTGTGCACTCTGTATGGAAACTCCTTGAGATTCTCTTCCTCTCCCTCTGCCCCTCCCCCTGCTCTCTCTAAATAAAATAAAATAAAATAAAATAAAATAAAATAAAATAAGAAAATAAGAGGTTTCAGAAGTTCCCTGAAATAGACACTGGGTAAAAAAAACAGTCGTTAACACACAGTCCCTATTTTCGAGAAGCTCACACTCTGGTAGAGAGAAGGCAAATGGATCAACCAATGAACACCCTAAACTCTGGAGGTGCTGTTAGACAGAGGGGACCCCAGGAGCCACGCAGAAACACTTCTTTTTTTTTTAAGATTTTTTTTTTTAAATTGAGTAATCTCTACACCCAACATAGGGCTCAAACTCACAACCCTGAGATCGAGTGTTGCACGCTCTTCTGACTGAGCCAGCCAGGCACCCCCAGAAACACTTTACAGAAGTGGTGTTCCTTGAACTGAGTCTGGAAAAGATAAGAAGGGGTTTGCCAGGCCAAAGGAAGAGGATGAGGCAAGAGGCTGGCATGAGCCTGTGGTGGACAGATCAACAAAGGCAAAGGCTCAGAGGCAGGAATTAGCATGGTAGGGGGTCAAGAAAGGGTGTGAAGGGGGTTCCAGGAGAGGTGAACACAGAGATCTCCGAACAAGCCATGAAACACTTTATTTTCTAAGTCTTGGGGAGTTGTGGATTTTAAAAATATTTGGGTTTTTAAAAGTCCTGATGGCAGATGAAGCAGTAGGCTCTACAAGTAGAGTAGACTTTACTCTAAAAAGATCTGGGTTTTGAATCTTTGCTCTGCTCCTTCTGCGACCTCAGGTCAAGTACCTTTGTTCTCTGGGCCTGTTTCATTGGCCCTAAAAGATGTGGATGGTGGTTACGTGTGGAGAGCTCAGCCATAAAAAGAACCTGCCGTAGAACCTGACAGTTACTAATAGTCGTTGTATCATTGTTTCATAAAGCTTCCTACCCTCCCTCATCCACGACATCTTTGAACATGCCTGTTTGAGACCACTGGTCTAGCCCAGCCCAGAAGGACTCCCAGGCTTTCTGGGCTCTGGACCAACTGAGTTCTTACCTCTTAGGGCAGTCCTTACCCTACTTAGCCACCCCTGGGCACTGAAATGCTGAAGCTCCAGAAAACACAATTCTTTCCCGCAAGGGAGAGCCTCCAAGCTCCAAGCTTCTCACATTTTTTAAAAAAGATTTTATTTATTTATTTGAGAGAGAGAAAGAGAGGGAGAGAGAGAGAGAGAGCATGAGAAGAAGGAGGGCCAGAGGGAGAAGCAGACTCCCCACCAAGCAGGGATCCTGATTCAGGACTGGATCCTGGGATTCTAGGATCATGACCTGAGCCGAAGGCAGTCGCCCAACCAACCTAGCCACCGGGGTGCCCCTATTCTCACATTTAAAAAAAAAAAAAAAAAAAGATTTTATTTATTTATTTGAGAGGGAGAGAGCAAGAGAGCACAAAACAGGGGGAGAGGCAGAGGGAGAAACAGACTTCACGCTGAGCAGGCAGCCTGATGTGGGGCTTGATCCCAGGACCCCGGGATCATGATCTGAGCCAAAGGCAGATGCTTAACTAACAGAGCCACCCAGGTGTCCCTGTGATTTCACATTAAGAGAGAGCACACACAGGATCCAAAAATGTCTCCCCAGACACTTGTTTCAGAAATCACTAAGGACTGGCCACCCCAGAATTTTCAGAGCCTGAGGAAGAGCAGACCTGCTCCCCCTATTACAAATAGGAAGGGGAATTGAGGGAAGTTGTCTTGGCCCTGTGCTAGGCATGTTCCATTGTCCCATCCAAGTCTAGGTAAATTTTATTTTTCCTATTTTTCAAAGGATGCAGCTGAGGCTTGCTTGAGTTGAGGCCCAGGTTCCTTATGGGTCAGCTGTACCTTGGACCATTCTGGACTGGGAGGTTTGGGGCAGACCCAATTTGGAGAAAGCATCTAGCCATTGTTTTATAGGATTACTGCTCTAGGGTACAGGAAGAGGTAGGCAGGCCATTTTCCTGAGCTCAGAGCCTTGATTCTCCCATGTGTTGGGGGCAGGACAGCCAGAAGTCATAGACCTCTTTGCAGAAACCCATCAAAATATCTCTGCTTTAAATTCTGCCACCCAAATAAAGGACTATTGAGTAGCATAAAATATAGATCTTCAGTATATCTGCAAACTTTGGTATCTTAAAATAACATATAATATGTTAAGAAATGATAACTTTTTACAGGTTAATTTTTTTTTAGTTTTTTTTTCTTAATTTTAACTTTTATTTATTCATTCGTTTTATCACTTTGAGCAAGGGCACCCAAAGGAGTCATGCCAGCTAGATATTACTCTGTTCTAAGCATGGTGTGTGTATGCTTTAATCCCCACAACATTCCTATAAATTCTGGGGTGGTGTTGTCCTCATTTTATAACTGAGGCCAGAGAGGTTTAGTGCCCAAGCTCTCGCGTTTGGTAGACAGAAGAGCCAGGATTTGAAACCCGTGGCCAGACTCTAGGGCCTGCCCTACAGCCTATTTCTAAGAGAAGTGTTAAAAAGTAAACTTGATATGAAGACAAGTTTTATCAGTTTATTTTTTTCCCTTTGATTAGAGAAACAGTCACTGATACTGGCATATAGCCACATGGTTTTCAGCCCCACTGGTTTGGGCTGTGGAATCTCTCAGGTTAAGAGGGGCTTGTACATACTGTGGTTTCTGACCTTCTAATATTTCAGAATGGAAGAAGAATGCCACTAATTCATTTCACTTTAATAAGTGTTCATTGCTCTGTCCTTTCCTTAAATATCCTTTAGCCACTTTTTCATCTGGCCAACTCCTACCTGACCCTTAAAGCCCAGCATGGGCATCACCACCTCCAGGAAGTCTTCCCAAACTGCCCTAGTGACTTCCTACTTTGTGTTCTGTGCTTTTCTAAATTTGCTCCCCTGAATATGACCTACTTTAGTGATGGACTTGTCTATCTCGCTCTCTGTACTAGAAGTCTCCCAAGTTCAAGGACCTTGTCTAATTCAGCATTGAATCTTTTGTACCTGTTCCTATGGCTTGCTCATAGTAAGGATTCAGTGAATTTTTGGTGAAGGCATTAGTGATTAGCTAATGTGTGTTTAGCATTCTGCTTCAGTTCATTGCTTATACAAAAAATTGATCACATTTTAGAACTTTGCCTCTCTATACCCATGAAGTTGGAATAAATCCTCTTAAAAGATCACACTGATTTAAATTTCTTTTGCTTATATTTGAATTAAAATAATTCATATTCATCCTTTAAAAATTAAATAGAGTGGCAGCTCTGGGGTTAGATCACCTGGGTGTCAATCCCAGCTCCTTGACCTATGACTGACTAGCTCTGTGACCTTGAGCCTTACTTAACTTCTCTGTGTCTCAAGTTTCTTCATTTGTAAAATGGGGATGATAATGGTATATATAGTATAAGAATTTAATTGGTTAACATTTGTAAAGCATTGTGAACAGTGCCTGATGTAAAGTAATATATAAGGTGCCCATTAAATTAACGGACTGATGGGCACCTGGGTGGCTCAGTTGGTTGGCCATCTGTCTCTTGATTTCAGCTCAGGTCATGATCTCAGGGTCCTGGGATGGAGCCCCTCATTGGGCTCTCTGCTCAGCAGGGAGCCTGCTTCCTCCTCTCTCTCTGCCTACTTGTGATCGCTCTCTCTCTGTCAAATAAATAAATAAAATCTTTAAAAATAAATAAAAATTAAAATTAAAAAATTAACTGATTAACTATGAAAAGCATAATGTAGGTGCTTATTAAATTAATTAGTTAATAGTTGGACAAAGCTTGTTACAAAAGATTGCACTCCTCTGGACCTGCTTTCCATTCCCCGGCAACACATTTTCCACTTTCTTCACTGATTGTTTTGGTGTTTGTTTTCCTGTTCCTGTTGAAATACCATGGTGCTCTGGCTCCTTGATTGTTCACTGTTAGGCACTGTGCATTGAGTTCTCAGCAGGGAAGGGAAGGACTGGGCTCTCTCTCATGTGCACATACCTCCTATTTCATCCTCGCGGTGTGTTTCTGTGGTGGTTTGGTGTGGATCACTAATCAGCGTTGTTATACCATCAACACAATTGACATGAGCCATGGAGAGTGATGTGGTGATTTTTGTTTTCCTATAGAACCTTCTGCTATCCCTGGAACTAAGTCTCTCTCTCTCTTTTTAATCTGCCTGTTTTCTTGCCTTTTTCTTTTGTCATGTTCGTATCACAATTTATCTCCAAATTTCCCCTTGGTTATACAAATCTGCCCCACACTACATTCAGACACATTACATAGTCTGTCCATTTCACCTTCATTTCCCAGTCTTCTGACTAGTTTCACTCTGGGTGGTTGATTTTAAGCTGTTTATGTAACCCTGCGGACTCACTTCCATTCTCTTCATCACATAGACCTTTTAATCTTTTTCTCTTTATGTTTTTATGATTCATCTACAGGGAGGACACAAAGAAGTGAAAACCAATGCAGAGAAGTGAATCCAGCTTCCTTAACCCCTCACCTTCTAGCTCTCCTGGATGAACCCTTGTCCAAGAATGGGGACAACTATTGGCTGAAGCCTGCCCATGTTTTTGGGTCTCATCGAAAGCAGAAACAACAAAACAAACAAAACAGTAATACCACAACACATGTAGTTGTTTCCAGTCCATGGGACAAAGAATATTAAAGTTCACTTCTACCCTTGGACAAAGTCAGGATTTATTTATTTATTTTTTAAAGATTTTATTTATTTATTTGACAGAGATCACAAGTAGGCAGAGAGTGAGAGGGAGAGAAGCAGGCTCCCTGCCGAGCAGAGAGCCCGATGCGGGGCTCGATCCCAAGACCCTAGGATCATGACCTGAGCTGAAGGCAGAGGCTTTAACCCACTGAGCCACCCAGGCGCCCCCAAAGTCAGGATTTAAATTGAAGTTAAGTCACCTCATTCCCTCATGCATTCACTTACTAATTCTTTCACTCACTTATTAGTGGTAATACTATGGAAGATTTAATATTATTATATAACACAGTAATAGTAATCATAGGAGACAGTTACTGAGTACTTATGATATGCTGAGTACTCTGGTAAGTCCGGCTTACACATGATCTGGGTTAACCTACTCCTAGTGGCTCCCCACAAGGTGAGTATTGTCACTTCCATCTCTCCTGGGAGGACACCGAGATTTGGAGGGGTTGCGCAAGCCCTCTAGATATCTATTGTCTACCATGCCTGCAGCAGTCCCAGAGGGTACAGAGATGAATAAAGACACAGCACTTGGCCTTAAGGTGCACATGGCCTGGAAGAGAGGGAGAAGGATGTAGAAGCCAATAGATACATTAAGCTTTGCTAGAAATCTGTGTGGAATCCAAGAAAATCCAAATGGAAAAGCGACTTCCCTGAGACTCAGAGGTGCAGGGGTGAGTATGTGGAAGGAGCTGGGCTGATGGGTGTGGCTTTTATCACTTGGTCCTTAGGGCACTAGGAGGTGACCTGGTCTGTGTTATAGCAGTCTGCCTGGCAATGCGAAGTTGAAAGAAAAGAAGCAGATGGCTATTTGCCTGAACCAAGAAGAAAATAAGTACATTCTTGGGCTCTCCAGTGTCTCCCACAGATAACGTATATTCACTTGAATAGTCCCAGTAAAGGGATGGGGGAAGGGTGATAAGGAAAGCGTTCAAGCTTTGGCCCCCCAAAATTCAGGGCTTAGAGTCCCTACCCTGCCTCATGATAGATGTATGACGTTAGGCCTAGTAGCTGTGTAACTTGACCTTTTCTGAACTTGTTTTCTTGAATGCAGAAAAGGAATGCCTGCCTCGCAGTAGTGTTGTGATCATTAAATGAGATAATTTATGCAACGTTCTCGGCACAGGGGTATTTCACTTGGCCATTGCTACCCGCTATTGTTGTTGTCATTGCTGTTAATATACACTTCTCCCGAAACCAGGACATACGGAGCCTTTGCCATGTGCAAGGCGCCACATAAGATAACCAGAGGTTTCTCACGCCTTCCCTTCCCACTCAAATTGCAGTTAGCCCTTTATTTACAGTTTCTCTAAGGAGCCATACTTTCTCCTATTGCTGGGTCTTTCCTCTGCTTCTGTACCTGAAAATCCCTTATCCCTCCCCGCTATGAAGTCCCAATATCACTCATTCCTGCTCCACCTTCAGGACCCCACATAGGCATCCTCTCCTTCAGGAAGCCTTCCCTGATACACCACCAACAAAGTTGGCACAGGGACCTCTCCTGTGCACTCCCACAGCCTTTCATGCCCCTCCATCATGGTAGCAGTTACCATAATGGTTGTAATCTCCTGTCAACCTATCTGTTTCTACTAGCCCCCACCCAGAAGCTGTCCTGGTTTTCTGGACCCAGATTGTCTTTCGGGACAATCCTTTGCACAGCTTGGGGCCAAGATCTCTGCACAGACCCCTTCCAGAAATTACTGAGGACTCCTAACCATAGGCCTCTCAGGAAATTCCAGATGAAAAGACCTGTCTCTGTTCTTTGTAACTATTAGAAGGGAAAATTATGGTGAAGGATTCTTTGCCCTTTATAAGGGGAAGGGGCTAGATAGAGTGTTGCAGGGAACTAACATTTAAGAAGCATTTACTGTAATGGATAAAACAAATGAGTAATTGTGTAATACTCTAATTCTGTCATTCCCAGTGTTGCTGAGAACTAGCACCCTCAGCACATTAAAGTAGAAGAGATGAAGGTAAAATCCTACTGTCCTGATTTTGAACTGATGATGAACTAAGGATGTATTTTATGTTTAAAAACAGTTGCCTGAGTAACCGAGAGGAGGAATGTCTAGAGAGTGGAGGGGAGGAGAGAATGAAAGTGTTTATAAAGAAGCTTTTGGGGTGATGGATATGTTCATTCTTCATTGTGGTGAAAGGTTCTCAGGAGTAGACACATTTTAAATATATGCACTCTCTTGTATGTCACTTATACCTCAACCTATTTAAAACAGAACAAAAAACCTATTTCCTAACTCTATCCATTGAACTGACCTAGAAATAAAGACCGCAGTAGCAGACCGTGGACTTGAAACACTATTTGAACTAAAAGGATTCAGGGATCCTTGAAGAAATGTCTGGTTCCCCGTCTAGGGCAGGGAAATCATGAGATGAACACGAAACCTCTTGCTACACTAGACAACAGAAAAGCTACTAAAGATAAGAGTCCCGTCCGAGAAAGTCATGAGCCAACTTGGGATCTCATTGGCTAAAGATGGGATAATTTAGGGGTGCGGGCTGGCTCAGTCGGTAGAGTATGCAACTCTTGATCTCAGGGTCATGAGTTCAAGCCCCTCATTGGGTCTGGTGCTTACTGAAAAAAAAAAAAAAAAGATTGGGACAATTTAAGCATTGTAATAATAATTGGAATTGAAGTACATCAAAAACATTTTCGGGGGCACCTAGGTGGCTCAGTGGGTTAAGCCTCTGCCTTTGGCTCAGGTCATGATCTCAGGGTCCTGGGATTGAGCCCTGAGTCAGGCTCTCTGCTCAGCAGGGAGCTTGCTTCCCCCTCTCTCTCTCTCTGCCTGCCTCTCTGCCTACTTGTGATCACTCTCTCTGTCAAATAAATAAATAAAATCTTTAATTTAAAAAAATCCCAGAAAACATTTTCACTTAGATATTCATACTGTTGCTTTAAAAAGATTAATTGGTCACCACTGAAAGATACTAGGGAACCAATTCATTACTCTGAAATCTGGCAAAAGTCAGCTTTTATCATGCCATTTCCATACAAACCTTACTACCAGGTAACCAAATAGTAGGTAAGGGGAAGTTCCTCTTTTAGAAGTATTCCACTTAATAAATTTAAAAGGAACAGAATTAAAATATTACTATTTTGTGACCCCCAATGACTTAATCTAGCTTGATCATCAATAGCCGCTAACAAAAGATAAAAAACCACTAAATGCCTCCTAATGGTAGACCACCTAGAAGATAATCGTTACCAAATAACCAAAGTTGGACCTGATCTAGAGTCTACATCCAACCACTGTAACAGGAAATACCGGGGACAGAGGAGCATATCACCCAGGATGCAATCAGCAAAATCCAGGCTCTGGAAAAATCCATTTTTAAAAATGATTCCATTTTGGGGGTGCCTGGGTGGCTTAGTTAAGCGTCTACCTTTGGGTCAGGTCATGATCCCAGAGTCCTGGGATTGAGCCCCGAGTTGAGTCAGGGTCCCTACTTAGCAGGGAGCCTGCTTCTCCCTCTCCCTCCGTCCCTCCCCCTGCTTGTTCTCTCTCTCTCTCTCAAATAAAATCTTTTTTAAAATTACTCCATTTCTTTTTAAACAAGTCACAAGGAAGAAAGAAGGAAATCTATAGATTTTTCAAAAGAGGGTCAAAGGCATCAGTCTGTTGCTACATGTAGACATTTTTTTATCCCAGTTGAAACAAACCTTAAAAAAAAAAAGATGGCATTGATGAAACAATTGAATATTTTAATTAATAATAATTAAAAGTTAATTTTTATTAATTTTTAAGTGTGCTATTGGCATTATGGTTATGTTTTTAAAAAGAGTCCTTATCTTTTAGAGAGACATACTGAAATATTCACAGAAGAAATTATATGATGTATGGAATTTGCTTCAAAATAGTAGGGGGAGTAAGTGGGTGGAGATTTAAGTGAAATAAGTTTGGCCATGTGTTGAAAATTGTTGAAGGCGGGTGATGGAAATATATTATTTCACCTTTGTATATATTAGAAATTGTCCATAATAAAACCATTCAAGGTTTTTACTCTGAACGAAACACTTTTTTTTTTTTAAAAGATTCTATTTATTTGAGAGAGAGAGAGAGTGAAAGAACGTGAGAGGAGGGAGGTCAGCGGGAGAAGCAGACTCCCCACCGAGCAGGGAGCCCAATGCCTGACTCCATTCTGGGATTCCCGGATCATGACCTGAGCCAAAGGCAGACACTTCCCCCAACTGAGACACCCAGGCACCCTGAACTAAACACTTTTTTTAAAAAGATCTTATTTTTAAGTAATCTCTACGCCCACTGTGGGGCTCAAACTCACAAGCCCAAGATCAAGAGTCACTGGCTCCACTGACTGAGCCAGCAAGGCACCCCTGAACTAACACTTTTAAGCATATTTCCACCTTATTTTATTGTCTTCTCGCTATATTATTGTCTTCTCACTCTGTGAGTGAGGTGCAGTTGTCCCCATTTTCAAGAGGCCTTTTTTTTTTTTTAAAGATAGATTTATTTGACAGAGATCACAAGTAGGCAGAGGCAGGCAGAGAGAGGGAGGGGGAAGCAGGCTTCCTGCTGAGCAGAGAGCCCGATGCGATGCGGGGCTCAGATCCCAGGACCCTGGGATCATGACCTGAGCCGAAGGCACAGGCTTTAACCCACTGAGCCACCCGGGTGCTGCTCAAGAGGCTTTTCTTGGCTGAACCACCCCTGGCTTTGACTTACAGTCTTCTCCTCGGTATTCTCGACCTCTCTCCCCTTCAACCCATTCTTCACACAGCAACCCAAATACTTTGCATGTATTAACCCATTTAATTCTCACAATTACTATTATTGGTTTTCAGATGAGGAAATTGAAGCACAGAGGGTAAGTAACTTCTCCAAGACGACACAGCTAGTAACTGGCTCATCTGTACTATGTAAGCCTGGCTTAGTCGCCACTCCGATGTGTACTGAAACTGTACTTCTATAAACAGAAAATAAAATCACCTATGAATACACAGGGTCTGCCATATACTGGTTTAGTATGTTGGTTAAGAGCATCAATGCTGGAGCCAGACCTTGAGCCTCAAGCAAGTTGTTTTACCTTCTGGTCCCTCGGTTCCCCTGTCTGTAAATAGGGGTAATGATAGTTCCTATCTCCTGGTGTCTTTGTGATGAGGGGTTGCACTAATCTGTGGAAAGGAGAAAGTGCTCTAAGTGTTGGCTGTCATCAGATGTTACCTTTAGCTTCCATCCTGCACTTTTTTTTTAAAGATTTTATTTATTTGACAGACAGAGATCACAGGTAGGCAGAGAGGCAGGCAGAGGGAGAGGAAGGGAAGCAGACTCCCTGCTGAGCAGAGAGCCTGACTCTACTGGGGGCTCCATCCCAGGACCCGAGCCGAAGGCAGAGGCTTTAACCCACTGAGCCACCCACGCACCCCCTGTCCTGCTCTTTTGAGAGCTACTTTCTCCCTAGCACTTTTCCACCCCAGCAGAACCACTCGCATTTCCCTAAATAAGCCTCTGTGTTGCCTCTGCCTTTCCCACCCTGCCCAGCTGGCAAATCCTCCCTTGTCCTCGCAGCCCCAAATTAAGGGTCACCTCCTCTGGGAAGATCGTGCAGTGAGACACCTACCTGTTACCTAAATGCACGTATAATCGCTCTTACCTTGCCCTGTGTGTGATTATGTTTCAGTGTCTATCTCCCTTACTACACTCATGGCTCTTGAAGGGCAGAGACCTGTCTTCATCTCCTTATCCAGCAGAAAGCTGGAATCAAACTGTGCTTATTAATTTTTAAAGATTTTATTTTATTGAGAGAGAGAGGGAGAGGGAGAACAAGCAGGGGGAGAGAGAGAAATGGTGCTTGATCCCAGGACCCTGGGATCATGACCCAAGCCAAAGGCAAGACACTTAACTGACTGAGCCACCCAGGCACCCCATCAAGCTATGTTTAGTAAATATTGGTTAAATAACTTGTCAGGGGCATGCCTCTCTGGGCAGCTATGTACTGAAGCTGGAAGTTTTTCAAATTTGGAAATAAATATAAATAAATGAGAAAGCCCCCAAATGACTGATGTGTGTGTGTGTGAGTTGGGGGTGAGTGTGTGTGTGTGTGTGTGTTTTTCACTGTAATTGCCTATAGTAATTGCCTATATACATACCAATCTATAGCCCCCATTAGGGTTTGTATCTTGTTGGTTGTTGAATCCCCGGCACATAACCCTTAGCACAGTGTCTGACAAATAATAGGGATTCAATAAACATCTTTAGAACGGATTAAATTTGTTGAAGGGGAGATACTCAGTGAAATTCTTTTTCGTGTGATGATCTTTCATTCTTAAGTTCTCTACCAAAGCATTTCCCATATTTGAGCTCTTGAAACTCCAAGAACATACAGCCACAGGCACCAGTTTGAGGAAACCCGACTGCAGACAGTGGGATCATAGGACTTTTTTTTGATTATAAGGCAGTTGTCCACAGAGGGGCAGTAAAGTGTAATGGTTTAAAATTCCGGTACTCCCGCTGCCTAGTTGTTTTCAGAATACCATTAAAATGAAATTTTAAAAATTTTGTAGAGGATTTATAGACTCACCGAAGGATTTGAGAAATTGGAAAAGCTGTTTGACACAATTACTAATTAGTTACTGATTGATACAAAAGCTCTGGCTCCCCATACTCTATATCTAAAATGGGAAAGTAGCATTTTACAATGCAGATTTTTTTTAAGTAGTCATTTTTATAAGTATTTTATGGCTTCTGAATTTTGTGTCATATTTTAAAAGATTTTTCTTATTCTGGGATAATTAAAAAATTGTCTCATTTTCTTCTAGCACGTTTGTTATTACATTCAGATTTAATCCATTGATCCATCTGGAATTTATCTTGGTATAAGGCGTGAAGTAGGGTTCTAATTTTATTTTTCTTCCAGATGGCTACCTAGTTGTTCCAACACCATTCCCTGAATTCATCATTTCCCCACTGATCTGAAATATCACCATCATCATATTCAGAATTTTTATATGATATGAAAGGCTAGTCCTTTTTTTTTTTTTTTTTTTTTTTTTTGGCCTGATTTGAGTGGATGTCTTCAAGTATACTTTTTAACTACCCACAGCTTTTGGGTTAAAAATTTTTTTTAAGTTGCCTATAACCATCATTACCATATCCAAACACGATTTTTATCCTCATTTTATGAATTTGTCGTTCCCAAGCTCATTTCTGTTTCTTTAAGTGTAGTGCACACAACCTTCAAATATTATGAACATTTCTCTCTCCCAGCTGTCACTACACCAAACTACATATGTTAGATTTCCCTAAATCGTCTTGCTGTGCTCTTTGCAGCTCTTCCATACACTTGGGTGTCCTCACCTAAGCAGCTGCTCGACAGTTCTACAATCATTAGGTGAGGTGTCAAGGTGAAGGCCTATCGCCTCTATCCAGTTCGTCCATCCCCAGACCCGGCACTGATTTCCATTTAACACGAAGGACAGGCTCTGTTTCTGGAAAGTAAGATCTTGAAGGAGCTACAGTAGTTATTTGTTGGCTTTTTAAACAATCCACTCTGAGGGGGGAAAAAAATGTCCTACAAAATGCCAACTGCTATTGTGGGAATTTTTTTTTTTTCTATTTATTCCAACAAAATGATTCAGACACTGAAGAAAAAGGGTCGTCCTGTACTAGGTCTTGAACTCCGAGAACTGTTTGCACAGACACCCATGCTAGCCTCCACCTCAACAGATGCTCTCTCAAATGTTTCATGACTCTCTCGTCAACAGTCAGTCTCCATTTAAGGGGAGCAGGATGACGCCGCCAGAGACGGCTGTGCTGGCAAGAAGGCGGGCCCCAAATTTCTATTTAAAAGCTGGACCAAAATATGCTTGGCTTCTGTTGTCTATTTAAAATTTCAAGTTCAGACGCAGAAAAATTACTCTCCATCCTGAATGGGCCCTGGGTGCCTCACTGCCAGAGAGCGAGCGGCTGATGGCACGGAGCCACAGAGAAGGGACGGAAATCAGGAATGCTGGGGTCTCAGTGAGGATCCCATACTCCACCTCCTGACCTGAGGGTCCCCCAACAAGACAAGCATTTTGCGCGGCACCTGCCGCCACGTCAGCCACCTTCGCTGACGGCCCGCTCCCCGCCTCGGTTGTCCACCTCACGACCCTTTCCCAGCGGCCTCTCTCCATTTCGAACAACCCCCACCTTAGGGCCTTCTTTCTCACAGCAGCCTGTCTTCATTCACCTCAGCGCCCTCCTCAGGGCCCCCTAATTTCCACACGTCTCCTCAGGGTCCCCACCCTGGAGTCTTCTCCCCACTTCAGCATCTCCCTCAGCTCAATGGAGACCCCCAGCCTCCGCTCGTATCAGGGTCCCTCTCCTCATAACATTTCCTCTGCCTCAGAATCCCTCTCTCCCCCTCGAGCGCTCCCGCGAGGTTCTTGTGGAAGCGGCTCCTAGCTCCTCCTCCCCCATACCTACCTCACCCGGGCCCCGCCCCGCCTCCCTGCAAGCCCCGCCCCCGCCCCGCCCCGCCCCGCCCCGCCCCGCCCCGTAAGGGCCCGCACTCTTGTTCCACGCCGCGTCTCGTCTCAGCCCCACCATGTCCCGCCCCCACTGTGGACACGCCCCTGTGTCAGCGCCCGGCCCCGCCCACGCTGGACCTGCGCCCAGACTCTCGTCCGTTGGCGCCAAACCTGCTGGTCAGTGACGCGAGGGCTGCCAGTCTCAGCGTTCTGGTTCGGGGTCAGAATCTCTGAGGACGGGAAAGCCCGGGCGGGGGGTGGAAGGGAGTGACCTTGAAAACTTCGCGGGACTGTAGGTACGAGCGGGGTCTGTGGCCAAAAGGGCGAGCGTGTGAAGAATGTGAGGGGAAAGCCAAGGCTTCCTTCCTTTGGTGGGGCTTGGTGGTCGTCGCTGGGCCCTGGGCTGGTGACTTTCTGCATTCTGTCCCCACCCCCGGGAGGAAATCTCAGTGACCCCGAGGGATTTCCGGCAGCATTATTTTAAAGCAAGTCGGACCCAAGTCTTCACTCGGCCTCCTCGGCCTCGTTTGGGGGAAACCGGGTGTCGGGAAGATGCCCATGGCGGCTCCCCAGCTGCGACGCCTGAAACCGAGGTGGCAGGGAGCCTGCTTTTAGGATCCAGCTCTAACATCCATCCACGGCCACCTGAGAAAGAACTATCTTTCGTTTTATCAAGGCGAGAAGAAATGAACGATTTTTTTCTTCTATGAGGGCAGTGTGGAATTTAGGGTCGTCCTATATAAGTTTACCTGTAGATCAGATCAGACAGTATTCCCGAAGATCCCATTCACGTCGTCTCCTCTTTGCCTCAGATACTGTGCTGCTCCGCGGAATTAGGTGACAGCAAACATACCTCTACCCTAGCAGTTGGTGTCCCTTCTACTGGGCCCCAACCGTGACTTTGGTAGGAATCGAGAAAACACAATAAACCAAGAAAACTGATTGCTTGGACCACATTGTATACTATGGCCATGCTTTGTAGATTCCCGAGATCTTAGAACAACTACTACAATGTTTAAGCCTCCATGTAGCTGCTTATTGGCCCTCATGTTATCATAATATTGGGTATCTAACATAATTTTAAATCTTAAAAAAATTTTGAGACTAGTAAATATTACAAAACAAAATAGAGCTAATGTTTTAAGAAACAAAGCAATATGTTGCAAAAGAGCCCATTCATAATTAGGAAGCAGGAAGGCATTCATCGTATATGAGAAAGTTAAAATCTATTGCTTGAGGCTAGACTAAGTTCTAGGAGCCAGGAGAGATACAGGAAGAATGACATGAGGTAAAAATTCGTGTTGTTAACAAAACTGGTATTGTTAACATAAACGTGAAAGGTTAAACAGCAACATGGAATACTAAATAGTATTCCAAGACAACAAAAAAGATATTAGCAGTCATGATATCAGTGCTTTAAGAAATCAAAAGATGAGAAAAGTAACCAATTTTCAGGAAAAGGAGTAGAAACTAAGTTCCCAACCCTCACATACACACACCCACAAAAGAAACAATGTCACATGCCCAGCAGAAAGCAGATAGACCAGCCCAGACATTCTAAATGAAATGTTTCTCTAATTGCTCTTCTGGTCCTTGGTGACTTTGAAATGAAATCAGGGAGGTCTCTGAGCAAAGGATTTTGATCTATGACTACTTCCTAAATAATATTTCTTTTCCCAGAACTGATTATTTTTCTGCTGCTCACCTTTCAAGATGAAGGAGGATCAAGTCGTGCTGGAAGAACCAGGATTCCAAGATGAAGAGGTATGGCTAGAATGCCGAAACATGGGTAGACGTTCAGTCATTCCACAAAAATGAAGTTCCTGCTCTGTTGGCTATTTTTAGAAACTGAGAGTGGAAAGAAAACATAGTGCTAGGGAGAGGCAATATTACAAATATGTAATGACTTGTTTGGCAAGGGGGGCTAAGATTAGCTACTTAGCAACTAGCATGAAAGTATTTTAATAACCTAACTGGTATGGCCATAATGGTATCAATCCATGCTGGTACTGAAGGAGTTCAAGGTCTGGTGGGGCAAAAACTTGAGAAAACATATTTTTAAAAGGGTTAAATGTTGGGGCGACTGGGTGGCTCAGTGGTTTAAAGGCTCTGCCTTCTGCTCAGGTCATGGTCCCAGGGTCCTGGGATCGAGCCCCACATCGGGCTCCCTGCTCAGCGGGGAGCCTGCTTCCCCCTCTCTGCCTGCCTCTCTGCCTACTTGTGATCTCTGTCTACCAAATAAATAAATTTTTTTAAAAAAGTAAAGAGGTTAAATGTTGTTCCACTCCTTTGGGTTAAGGTCTTAAAAATCTAGACAGGACACGACAAAAATACTGGGCTTCCCAACCCTTTCAGTGTTGGTGCATCTTCTAAGTATATAACAATGTGTTTGAAAAAACATTATTGATCCCAACTCGCTCTGTCTAGGAAAGTGGAATTTGAGGCATTTTGGAGTGACTCATAATACTGAATTAACTCTTTAAAAGATATGATACAATTGGATATGAAGAATCAAAGCTCCCTTTTTTTCTGTTCCATCTCCTCCAGGAATCTTTGTTTCAAGACATTGACCTGTTACAAAAACATGGGATTGTAAGTATTTTTTCAATTTTCCATGTAAGTAATTTTTCAATGTGAAATTGTTCAATTCGGAGTTTGTCAGCCTTGACCCTACTGACATTTGGGAATGGGCAATTCTTAGTGGGCAGGGAGGGGACTTTCCTGTGCATTTGTTGCATGTTTACAGCACCCCTGGCTCCTGACCACTCATTAGATGCCAGTAACAACCCTCTTAGTTAGGACAACCAGAAATTTCTCCAGACATTATCAGGTGTTCTAAGGGGGCATACTGTCCCCAGCCAAGAACCACTGGTCCAACTGGAGGCATTCAGAGCTACCCACCCCTGTCTTCATCAACAAAAAATTCAGTTCTGTGGCAGATGATCAGAGTAAATAATGTTGACTGAAATCAGACTTTAAGTAGATGCATTTCAGCAGCAATTCACTGATAGTAAAACTTCCCTGACATTATTTTTTGAAGCCCTCACATTTAATCTCTTTCAGTTGGATTTAGAAAATAGGAGCAAGAGAAAATCCTAGTCCTTTGGTGATGTAGTTATTTGCATTTTCCAAGGATCTAGGGGGAAAAAATTTAATTTTAAAAGAACATAATCATAATGAAGTTCTCTAGAAGGAAAGAGATGAACTGAGGGGGCGAACGTGTGATACATTTGCTAGCTTTTCCACCAACAGACTTCTCTTTTGAATTCCTTGTTACATTGCCATGGTCTCACTAACATTCTTGGGAAATCAGGGCACAGCCAGAACATTTGGCAGCGTGCTGGATATGTTCTACTCAGATATTTCCAGAACATTTGGCTACATGGTGGGTGGGTTCCACCTGGCTGCTTGGATAAAATTGGCATCTTGGTGGAAGGAGATGGACTCAAAAGCACATGACATAGTATGGGAGCCTTGCAGGCTGGCATTTTATCAATCTGCTGCACCCATTCTTTTATTTACAGAACGTGGCTGACATTAAGAAACTGAAGTCCGTAGGAATCTGTACCATCAAAGGGATACAGATGACAACTAGAAGAGCACTATGCAATGTCAAAGGGCTCTCAGAAGCAAAAGTGGACAAAATTAAAGAGGCAGCCAACAAACTCATTGTAAGCAAAATCAGTTCTTTGTTGTTTTAGCTTAGAAGTGTCTGTGAGGCTCTATAGCCTTTCTCATTGGACCTTCTACACTTCTCATGAACACCAGAAACTACTGTGGGGACCCCAAATTTCTGTAGATCACAATCTATTATACCCCCTCACATTAACTTTTTATCACTTCAGTTTCAAAGCAACAACAATTAATTTTTGACAGACTGAGACAGGTGTTAAGAGACTTGAATACTACTAAAAAGGTACTTATTTTTATCAAAAAAATTTTTTGGTCTCCTTTTTTATTTATTTTTCTCCCTTTCTGTTTCTCTGCCTTAACGCCTCCTTGTTTTCACTTTGTCTCCTCAAATATTGTATCTTTGGTTGTTGCAAAGCACTAGCACCAAAGAAGTTGCTGTCTCCTGGTATAGGCCAATTAGTAAGAGAGCATCGGGTTAGAAAAAAACTAAGTGTGGGTCTGCATGTGTACGGTCGAGAAAAATATGACCAAGAATATGGTCACTGAGGCAGATGAGCTAAAGCTGAGCTGAACTCACACCTTGTAGCTGGCCCACACATACTGAGTGGCCCATGCAACGAAGAGGCTCCAAGCAAAAACATGTCTTTGACTCAAGCTTTTGTGTTGACCTTTTGGGGGTTCTGTGGAGGCACTATCGCTGGAAACAGGAACGTGCAGAGCCACCAGTCTCTCTTTTTGCAGAAGAACAAGGCTCTCCATGTATGTCTACATATGTATGTAAGAGTCTCGTTCCCAGCAAGTCCATTTGATTTGCTCACCCAGAGGCAGCTGAAGTGTGGCAGTGATGATAGTGGTGGTATGGTCCTGAACTTGGAGAGCAGCTAACTGAGCTGCTCTGAACCGAGCTCAGTTGCTCTAACTTCTGAGTAAATTCAGACAGTATACCCACAGGCCAGCTCCACAACTGCCCTCAAGCAGTACCCAGAGTTTGCAAAACTGCCACGTTATAGCTCATAGGCATTAGTCTTATTTTCTTTGCAAATTAATCCCCATTATCAAAGAAAAGAATCCCTCTCCTTCTCAAGCATCCATTACTATACCCAGAGTCTGCATCCTTTCTTAACTAAAGCTGTTTATTCTTAGAGAGAAAGAGACTGGGGGGGGGGGGGGGTTGGGGAGAGAAAAAGGAAGTTAATTTCATAGTACAGTGGTTCCAAACATTGTTGTGTATCAGAATGACCTGGATTGGCTAATAAAGAACACATAGTCCCAGACTCATTGAAGGCCTGGGTTTGGTTTGGTTCGTTTTTCTTTTTTAAGAGTTGTGAGTTTAGGGCTCCTGGGTGACTCAGTTGTTGGGTGTCTGTCTTTGGCTCAGGTTGTGGTCCTGGGGTCCTGGGATCAAACCCAGTGCTGACCTCTCTGCTCTGTGGGGAGCCTGCTTCTCCCTCTCCCACTCCCCCTGCTTGTGTTCCCTCTCTCACTGTCTCTCTCTGTCAGATAAATAAAATAAAATAAAATAAAATAATTGTGAGTTTAAACTTTTTATTTATTTATTTATTTTAGAGGATGGGGGAGGGGCAGAGGGCAAGGAAGAGAGAGAATCCCCAGCAGGCTCCACGCCCAGCCCAGAGCCTGATGTGGGGCTTTCTCCCACAACTCCGAGATCATGACCTGAGCCAAAATCAAGAATCAAACACTTAACTGACTGAGCCATCCAGGTACCCCGGCCTGGGCTTTTTTTTAACACCCCTCTTAAGTTCTCCAAAGTTTGAAAGCCACTGTTATATTATAAAACAAAAAGGGAAATACATTAGGGGTACTTGGGTGGCTCAGGTCATGATCCCTGGGTCCTGGGATTAAGTCCTGCATCGGGCTCCCTGCTTAGCAGAGAGGCTGCTTCTCCCTCTTCTTCTGTCCCTCCCTGCTGCTTGTGCTCATGCCTCTCTCTCTCTCTCTCTGTCTTAAATAAATAAAATCTTATTTTAAGGGGAATACATTAGACCATGTCATGAGAGCACATCGGGCCTCTTCTTGCTAATTAGACTACTGCATCAGCTATAGCTTATTGATTTGTCAAATAAGTAGTATTTCTACCATTGCAATATATATTGTCTCGTGAATAGTGAACACTGGAATTTCTGTGCTCCTTGAAACTTCCAGAGCGAGTGGAAAATGATGCTGTTCAATGAAATCAATTGAGTCATTCGGTAAAATACCATTCTGCTTTATGCCATAAATATACCTCATTTAAACTTTACAGCTACCCTATGAGAGAGACACTATTCTTTTTGAAAAAAAAATTTTTTTTATTAACATATAATGTATTATTTGCTCCAGGGGTACAGGTCTGTGAATCATCAGGCTTACACACTTCACAGCACTCACCATAGCACATACCATCCCCAATGTCCACAACCCAATCACCCTCTCCACACCCTCCTCCCCTCAGCAACCCTCAGTCTGTTTTGTAAGATTAAGAATCTCTTGTGGTTTGTCTCCCTCCTGATCCCATCTTTTTTCATTTTTTCCTTCCCTACCCCCCAAACCGCCCAGTCTGCCTCTCAAATTCCTCATATCAGGGAGATCATATGATAACTGTCTTTCTCTGATTGACTTATCACTGTTCTTATCCTGATTTGGCCCAAGCAAGGAAACTGAGGAACAGCACAATTAAGTAGTTTACCCCAAATCATACAACTAATAAGTATTAGACACTTATTTTGAACCTAGATAGGGTAGCTTCAGAGTCAGTTTTCTTAACCACGATCTTTTGCTGCCTTCAAAGACTAATGAACTGTAGCTCATATCAAATGATTACCCTGATAATCAAGTAGAGTTTGGGGCAGCATTTGAAACGAAACTATCATCTTATACCCCTTTGAACCTTTCCTTTTGTCTTTTTGTAGGAGCCAGGATTCTTGACTGCCTTTGAGTACAGTGAGAAGAGAAAGATGGTTTTCCATATCACCACTGGGAGCCAGGAATTTGAGTGTGTACCTCATATTTTTTATGACCACTAGACATAACCTTTGGACTGTTGTATCTCTTCTCTTGAGTTTGTTAGAAATAGCTTCTTTTTCTTTGTTTCTTTTTCTTCCAAAATTCTACTGAAGCAAACAAATTCCAGACAATTTGTAGAAGCAGGATTAAATTTGTTACAAGAAATTCAGACCCAAAATATAAGTAGTTTCTGAGTCAGCCTGTATTTTAAAAAACCGTCTTGAGAATCAGTTTAACTTTTCATTTTCTTTTCTCCTTGTTGATAAAGGAGATTCCATTTCACTTTTGGTTTTACTTAAAAATCAGTTGTTTAGGTTGAATATTTTACAAGAAATAATCCAGTGGGTTATTTTTTTCTCTTTAGCATCAGCTGCTTTAACTTCCCTTTTTATTTACTATCTCAAGATTCCTAAGACATAGTTATCATCTTCCTAATGCAAGTTGACTAAGTTGTGTTTTTTTTCCCCTTACCTTCCTAGGCAGAATTACTAGTTCATAGGTTAGACGAGTGGCCAAGAGCAATTTGAACAAAAGCAGCATTTCTACAAACTATTCCTCAAAACCCTGTCCTCATAAGGTATTCTAAGAAAAAAGGATTTCATAGTCAAATATTGCTTCCAGTTGGATGTCTCCCAGGCAGTTCAGACTTCACAGGTCCAAATCCAAACTTCTGTTATCTGTCCCAGATCTGCACCTCCCAAAGCCTCCCTCCTCTCGGATTTGCCTCTTTTCTAATCCTCAGAACTAAAACCTTGGTGTCGTCCTTGGCACTTTTTTTTTTTTTCATCTCACACCCTAACTCTTACTCATTAAGAGTGTGCTCTACCTTCTACAACAAACCACCCAGTTTCTTCAACAAATAAATTACAAAGAATCAAAAGACAGATGCAGTCAAGGAGAAGACCTAGAGATTAAAAGAGATTTAAAAGACATATTACCTAATCTCCAATATGTAGATTTCATTTGGATCCTGATTCAAGCACAGTATTAAAAAATAAGCTATTTATGAGATAGTTGGAAAATTGAACACCTACTGTATAGTTGCTATTAAGGAATTACTACTTGTTTAGGTAATAATGATGATATGATTATGTTTAAAAAAAGAGCATACGTCTTTTAGAGATAGTTACGGAAATATTTAGGATGAATGATATGTTGTCCTGTATCTGCTTAAAATAACAGGAAAAGGGAAGGAAGTAGTTGGAGGTTTATATGAAAAAAGATTGACCATGAGTTCATAGTTGATAATTGTTGAAGCTAAGTGAGAGGTACATGATGGCTCGTTATTTTTTTTTTAAGATTTTATTTATTCATTTGACAGGCAGAGATCACAAAGTATGCAGAGAGTCAGGTAGAGAGAGAGAGAGGAAAGCAGGCTCCTTGCTGAGCAGAGAGCCCCATGCTGGGCTCCATCCCAGGACCCTGAGATCATGACCTGAGCGGAAGACAGAGGCTTTAACCTACTGAGCCACCCAGGTGCCCTTTGATGGCTCATTATTATAGTGTTTTGTCCACTTTAGTTTATGTTTGAAACCTTCCATTATAATGTTTATATCTTTTTCCTGTGTGTGTGTGTATGTAGAAAAAAAGAGGAAATAAGAATTCAATTAATTCTCCACCACCTCCTCCACTGTTACCTTACTAGTTTAAATTACCTATTAACTTTGCCTCTGGAGTAGTATAGTAACTTCTAACCTCTCTCTTTTTCAGACCTTGCCCCTAGTATTTATTCTTCACACAGGAGCCAGAATGATCCCTTTAAAACTTAGGTCAGGAGCCCCCGGGTGGCTCATTTGGTTGAGCCTTCAACTCTTGTTTTTGGCCCAGATCATGATCTCAGGGTCATGGGATTGAGCTCCGAGTTCTCAGGCTCTGTGCTCAGCCGGGAGTCTGCTTGGGATGCTCTCCCTCTGCCCCTCCCCCAACTCTCTTCAAACAAACAAACAAACAAACAAAAACCAGTTAGGTCAGATCATGACATTTCTCTGCCCAAAACTACTCTAATGACTCCTCATTTTAGAGCAAAAGCCAAAATCCTCTCTAATCTAATCTCATCTTTTATCCTTTTTTCAGTTTGCTATGCACCAACCACACTGACTTCTTTGCTATTTCTAGAACATGCCAGATACACTCCTGCGTCGGGGCTTTTGCACTTACCATTTCTTCTGCCTGGAACACTTTTTCCTCCTATATCTACCTGGCTTGCTGTTACCTCTTTTAGATCTTGGCTAAAATATCTACTCAATGAGGTCTTCTCTGGTCACTTTATTTAACTATTTAACTCCCCGCCTTGGGGCGCCTGGGTGGCTCAGTGGGTTAAAGCCTCTGCCTTCGGCTCGGGTCATGATCCCAGGGTCCTGGGATCGAGGTCCGCATTAGGCTGTCTGCTCAGTGGGGAGCCTGCCTCCCTTCCTCTCTCTCTGCCTCGATGCCTACTTGTGATCTCTGTCTGTCAAATAAATAAAATCTTAAAAAAAAATAAATAAATAAACTCCCTGCCTTCATCCTCTGCACTTCTTATCTCCTTTCTGGATCTAATTTTTATTCATAAATTTAATAACATCTGACTTACCACATATTTTGCTTATTACTTATTACCGTTTCTTCTGTTCTCCCACTGAATGTATATTCAGTTGACTTTTAGAAACACAGTCCCAAGCACAATGTGAACAACCCAGTTAATAACTAAAACCATTTGCTCAAGCTTTAGTTCTAAAGAATGATGAGACCTAAGCCTGTGTAGCCCATTTCCTATTGGTACCTAGAAGCTAGAGCAAGAACAAAAGATTTTTTTTGATCTTTTGTTGATCCACTGCCCATATACAGCAGAATCTGTGTTCTAAAGAGTTAGCATGTCATTTGTTCCGCCAAGAATTCCTGTCCATGGTGGATAGAGAGAGAGACAGATATGACATTAATGGTACACTTTCTCCTTTCTCGATCTCTCTGTTTCTGTTCCTTTTACGAATGCTTACTTTTTATTTCCAGTAAGTTGCTAGGAGGTGGAATTGAAAGCATGGCAATCACAGAAGCTTTTGGAGGTAAGTAGAACCTTACTATTTTGTTATATGAAAGAAATTATATACACACATACATATATAATTTAAAAACAGCCAATAGTACATTGTATATCTACTTTGAAACTTATGTTGAAATCTCAATTATAATACAGGATCATCCTGAGCCTAAAAGACATTCCATCATTAACAGAGAGGTCCTGTTGGCATTTGTCATTTTTTTAATCTCTGACTTCCATAAAAGAAAAAAGAATTTCTTTTCCTCATTCCTTCAGAAGGTAGTTGGGTAATGAAACCAATCTTATTTCTAGGATATGCATGTTCCATGGACATAGTAGATTTTTTTCTTCCCTGATTCTATCTTCTATTTTTCTTCTCCTTTTTTTTAAAAGATTTTATTTATTTATTTAACAAAGAGAGTGAGAGAGCACAGTAGGGGGAGTAGCAGAGGGAGAGGGAGAAGCAGGCTCCCTGCTGAGCTGGGAACCCAACCCAATGCAGGGCTTCATCCCACAACCCTGAGATCATGACCTGGGCCAAAAGCAGCCACTCAACTAACTGAGCCACCCAGGGGCCCCTCTATTTTTCTTCATAACAATTTATACACAGGTATTGTATATGCTGTGCCTTGCAACTCCAGTATCTGCAATCCTTGGGGAACTAGTCTGTTTTTTGTGGTTGTTGTTGGTATTTCTGTTGACATAGAGAAATAAATCTGCTTTTTATTATTCCTGTCAACTGTCAGGGTTGAATGGCTTGCTCTCTTGTTTATTTATTGATATTTCTGAGCTTATTGCCTGATTTTGATCTATGGGAGCTCACTGGACCTAAACTGGTGAGTGGGGAAGTTTTTCTCCAGAAGAGAATTTGCTTCTGTTGGAAGGTAGGGCGTCTCACCAGTCTGAGACTACTTCAGCCTTCCTTTGAGGATCTCAGTACAGTGGGACAACCCCAGGCTCTCCTTCCTTGTGGTAGGGTCTTAAACTTTCATTTCTATGACTAAAATGAAAAAACTCGTGTTTTTTCCCCTATATAGGGAAAACCCAGTTCTTTCCTACTGTGTATTTTTTTTTTCCTGTGAGTCTCTTTTCCTATTCACACAAACACTTCACTTCTGACACTTCTGGTCACCAAATACATGGACATTTCCCCCGACAACAACAAGCAATTCTTGGACACCTGCATGGTATCCAAGAATTCAAGTCAATTCTGCCACTACCTACACAGAGACAGTGCCAGATTCCACAGGCTAAGTATGGACTCAGTCCCATAAGAATCCCCCGCCTTCAGAGGCCAGTCACAAGCCCAGATTAAACCTGTGCTTCTGACAAACGGCTGTAGGTCCAAAATTCCAGTGTCCCCTTCCTTGGGTTTGATTAGTTTGTTAAAGCAGCTGACTGAACTCAGGGAAACACTCACTCATGTTTACCATTTTATTAAACAACGTGATAAAGGCTACAGATTAATATTTAGAGGGAAAAGATGAGTAGGAGAATATATGAGGGAAGAGGGGTGGAGCTTCCATGTCCTCTTTTCCATTATCTCACAATGACTAAGGAAAACTTGGTTTAAATAAATTTTTTCTAAAGGACAGTTCTATGAGCAAACACCTTGTATTGCCGGCTTCATCCATGACACAGTGGTACTTTAGGTGTAAGATTTGACAGTTGGAAAGAAAATCATACTCTGAGACTGTATTTTGTTCTTTATGAAAATATCTAGAAATTAACTATGTGGTTTTCCTTTTTTCTATATTTCACAGAATTTCGTACTGGAAAAACCCAGCTCTCTCATACCCTCTGTGGTAAGGATACATAACAACCACAATAACAATAATAATCATAGCAGTCACTTACTAGTCATGTACTTTGTGCCTGGTACTTTATATAATCTCAGGTAATCTGGAATTTGCAAGGAAACTAACCTGCCTATGGTTACACAAATACCAAAGCCAGTCTTTGAATGTTTGACGCTTGAGGTAATGTTGTATGTGCTGCACTCTGCGCTCTGAACACCTGAATGGAAACCAGGAGGAAGTGAATGGGTATATGTGTGTAGTGCTGGTGGTGGGTAGAGGACCTCACTGTCTCCATTTTCCCCAATCCATCTTTTCTATATTCTATCAACAAGAATGTCCCCAAATCAGTTGAGGCCTAGAATCTCTAACTTTCCATGAAGTAAAGTTGGCCTTAGGAAAGACTTAAAAATAAATTTTTCTAAAACAGAATAAACAAAAATGCCTCCTTTTGTACAAAGATGTTACTCCACATTTCTTTGACCTAAGCAGAAGGAGCATGGCCAAGCAGTTAAGAAGTAGATTCTGGGGGCGCCTGGGTGGCTTGGTGGGTTAAGCCTTTGCCTTCTGCTCAGGTCCTGGGATGGAGCCCTGCATCGGGCTCTCTGTTCAGCAGGGAGCCTGCTTCCCCCTCTCTCTCTGCCTCCTGCTCTGCCTACTTGTGATTTCTCTCTCTGTCAAATAACTAAATAAAATCTTAAAAAAAAAAAAAAAAAAGAAAGAAAGAAAAGAAGTAGATTCTGGAATCAAAGCACCTGGCCCCAGTCTTGGCTCTACCATTAATAACTGTGTGACCTTGGGCAAATTCTTCACCTTTTGAATTTTCCCCATCAGTAAAATAGGCATAATGATAGTGCCAAAGTTAGGGTTGTCTTGAAAAATAAATGAAATAATCCATGATTCTAACATAAAGAAATTCCTTTGTGTCAATTACTAATGCCTATAAAGAAAATGCATTTTAAATTTTGACATGCATTAATTGAAAGGTGACTCAAATGGGCTATATAGCATAAATTATATTTGTGATTATTTCTTATAGGAAAAAAGTAATATTTAAATTCTTTTCTTTAGGAGAACTAAAGATTGTGAGAGATATGGACGTTCTTTGTTGAATTATCATGCTGATAGAATACTTATAGTTTTACCACTGGTTAGTAATATAAAAATATAACATGCTGTTTAGAAAATAAAGGATCATGATTTTTTGCCAGATTGACAAAAGGTTTGCAACCAACATAAATCCTGTTAATTTATATATTTGCTTGTGCAAAGTTTATTCAATTCTATTAATATTATTTCATTTTTTTAATTGCTTCCTAGTGACAGCTCAACTTCCAGGAGCAGGTGGCTATTCAGGAGGAAAGATTATCTTCATTGATACAGAAAATACTTTGTAACCTTTTTATTTAAATAAGTTGCTTACATAGTAGTGTGATGTAGTAATGTTACTATAAAAGAAAGTTTGAAGTATATCATTCATATAATCATCCCCTAAACCAGCAATAATGAGAAGAGCCACAGGGAAATCAGTTGTTGATAGAGTTTTCGAGTCACTTTTTATTTTAAAAAAGTCTCACTTCTCTAGATGTATTTGATGTAAAATTCACAAAATAAATACATGAGAGGGACTTATATTTTATTTGTTTTTAGTCCTCTTACTTCTCTAAAGATGGTACTTAATAGGTGGAAGGAGATTGTTGACTCAAAGTCATGGTTCAAAATAAAGGGAAAAGAAAGAAGAGAACAAAAGTACAGGATGGGAAAAGGCAGAATGTGGTTGGGTCACAGGAAGAATTGTAGTTTAATTGAAATATAAGATGTTTCAGAATTAAGGCTGGAAAGATGACTTGGGTCTTAGATATGAAGGGCTTTAAAACCAGATGATGGGTATAAATTGATATTTTTGCAATATTCTAGGCAAGTAATGAGAGCTTGACCTAGGCTGGAAGCCTGAATAAAAAGAACAAGACAAGGGGTGCCTGGCTGGGTCAGTCAGGGGAGTATGTGATTCTTGACTTCAAGGTTGCAGGTTCGAGCCCCATGTTGGGTATAGAGATCATGTAAAAATAAGAATCTTAGAAAGGAAAAGGGGACAAGAAATATTAGGAAAATTGATAGGACTTGATGACTGTATTTGGTAGACAAATGAAAGAGAAGTTTGAGAAACTATCAGGTTTTTTATCTATATTGGGAGAGAAATGATGATAAAGACAGAATTGGGAGGGTCATGGTTCAGACAAAAGGTGTGTTTCATTTCAGTGTGTTAAGTATGAGGAACAGGAGGACATCCACATGGCAGTTGGAAATGTTGGACTCTGTCTGAGAAAGGGTAGAGCCAGAGATAATATAGATGGAATAAACAAAAGGGTGGGAGGACTTAGACAAGAGGAGAACTGAGACTATCACTTCCCTGTGTGCCTAAGTTTAGGAAGAGGGACTAAAAAAGAGGATGCCATAGAGACAGAGGAAGTAGAAGGAAATCTGTCGTAGAAGCTAAGCAAAAGGAAAGTTTAAAGAAGAAAAGGGTAGTCAGCAAGAGAGAGAGAAGGCACAAACTGAGAAAGATCACTGAGATTTGAAATTAGGAATCCAAGAGAGCATTTGCAGTTACAGAAGATGATGGAAGCTTGTTGCAAATGAATAATAAAGAATGGAGCCAGTGTGCTATTAACCAATAAACAGAAGAAGAAATACAGTAGTTTGAGGTATCAGGTTCAGAGGAAATTGTTTTTAACAATAGAAAAGACTTGCACACAAGTTTGTAAGGCCTTTCACAATGAAGCCCCAACCTAGCTCTCCAAGCTCACTACTGACTATTGCCACTAGTAGAGGCAAAGGGATCCAATCTATTCTCTAAAATTGTCTCTAAAACATGAAAACTTTGTACATCAGCAATTAGTTAGTCTTAACATAAAGGTATTCATTAATTTTCTTCCCCATATCTTTGTTTTCTCTGCATACCTATTCAAGTCATTCTTTCAGAAAAGTAATCTGGGTAGTAAGCTTTGAGCCCTAGCATGTCTGAAAATGCCTTTATTTTGCTCTCACTCTTAAATGTTAATCTGGCCAGTCATAGAGGAATTGCATGGTATATTTCTATCCTCCTTGGATATTTGATCCGTCTGTCCCTACCTCAGTCTTCCTGAATCACACAAATCCTTTGAGGCTCTCCTTTGAAGGCCTACCTTTTCTAATCTTCTCTAAATACCCAATGTAAATAACCTCATCCTTCTTAATCTGTTATAGAATTTACTATCTAGGGACGCCTGGGTAGCTCAGTTGTTAAGTGTCTGCCTTTGGCTCAGGTCATGATCCCAGGGTCCTGGGATCTAGCCCCACATCAGGATCCTTGTCAGCGGGGAGTTTGCTCCTCCCTGTCCCCCTGCTTGTGTTCCTTCTCTCACTATGTCTCTCTGTCTGTCAAATAAATAAATAAAATCTTTTTTTTAAGATTTTATTTATTTATTTGACAGACAGAGATCACAAGTAGACAGAGAGGCAGGCAAAGAGAGAGGGGAAGCAGGTTCCCCGCTGAGCAGAGAGCCCAACGCAGGACTCCATCCCAGGACCCTGGGGTCATGACCTGAGCTGAAGGCAGAGGCTTTACCAACTGAGCCACTTAGGCATCCCTGGGCAATTTGGATTTTATCAAGAATGATAGAGAAGAATAGTTAGGAGCCAAGTCTTCTGCAAGAAGGAGTAGGGAGGACAGCTTAGGGGAACAAGGACATTCAAGAGCCCCAATGGAATGTTCTCATTCCTTTAGTTTCTTTCTTTCTTTTCTTTTCCTTTCTTTTCTTTTCTTTTCCTTTCTTTTCTTTTCTTTTCTTTTCTTTTTTCTTTAAGGATTTTATTTATTTATTTAGAAAGAGAGCGAGAGAATGAGCAGGGGGAAGGGTAGAAGAAGAGGAAGAAAAAACCCTCAAGCAGACTCCACACTGAACACAGAGCCTGTTGTGGGGCTTGATCCCAGGATCATGACATCATCACCTGAGCCAAAACCAAAAACTGGCCGCTTAACCCACTGCACCACCCAGGCGCCCCTCCTTTAGTTGTTCTTACATATACACTACTCTCTCCTGATATTTTCCTTTTTGTATGTTTATATTTTGCCTTCTTATTTATGTTTTACATTAACCTGTAATACGGATTGTTTTACAACTCTGTATATGATACCTCAATGCACTGGTAATTGGTTAAAATAGTAATCAATTCCATATAGTAATCGACTAACAAATATTTAAAAATTGATTTGAACTTCCCTTCGGCATAAGCCCAACTTTTACACTTTCAGTCACATGGTAACCAGATTCTGTAAAAAGTGTGCTGAAAAGCATTTTTACTGTGTCTTCCAATTCTCTGCCAGCTTTGACCTGTCCACCAAAAATATCTCCTGGGTAAACTCAGGAGCAGTGGAAGATTTTAGTGGTTGTCGCTGAAGCTCTGAAGAAAAGAACACACGTAGTGCATTAGGATATAGATGGCTGGGGAATTGTAAAGACAATCTAATTCTACATACACAGAGCTAGTTGTAAACATCACAAATAAAATCGTAAATTGTCCTCATTTTACAGTTGTAGTGTGATCGGTACTATACAAACACTGTAAACAAAGTGAAATGAGAACACAGACATGGATTTTATTTTAGCTCACATCAATTCAGAGAATACTGTAGCCATATTTGGATCACCGAAGACCTAAAAAAATGTGGATTACTTCTTTATTGTTTAGATAGCTATAAGTGATTATTAACATCTTCCAAAAAACATTTGCAGGTACACTGAATTTGCCTCCCTATGAATTTACTAATTTCAGAAAGCTAACACAAGTCTTTTAGAAGAAGGGAGATTTTAAACCCTAAACAGACCAAAACCATAGGTTGCTAATTTCCTTCTGATCCTTGAAATTCTTTTTTTTTTTAAGATTTTTTTTTTTTTAAGTAATCGCTACACCCAAAGTAGGGCTCGAACTCACAACCTCGAGATCAAGAGTCACATGCTGAAACAAATGAGCCAGGCACCGCATGATCCTTGAAATTACTTACTGATACTTTGGTTCATGTAGTCAAATTTATCATTTGTTGGCAACTCATGGTTAACAGTATCTTAAATTACTTCATATTGAACAAGCGAGGAATTTAAAGAGAGTGAATTAATTCACTTTGAAGTGACTTGAATTATAATTCAGTGATATTATCTTCCTAGAATAGATCTATTTTTATACTGAAATCAAAAGAGAGTCACAAATCTTAGTGTCTGTTTTTTTCCTTGTAACTGATTTGCTGCATAATCCTGAGTCATTTGCCTAATCTCTGTTTGTCAGTGTCCTCATTTGTAAAATGTAATATAGGTCATAACAACTAGGTTCCTTTATCTATTATAAAGATCAGAGTATTCAGTATTTAAATTCATCAGTGTTCATCATTTCTATCATTGTTATACACTGAGTTATTTATTAATTTGGGCACTTATGAAAAGGAAAAATCTGATATAGATTTTAAGTGGTTATTCTCATCTTTCAGAATACCTTTCCAGGTATGATGTTTGCCTCTCTGTTAGTTTACTTAAGGTATTATTTTTTGTAGTTGTTCTAAACTTTTTTTGGAATTGATTTATTGGATCCTTAATCTTGGCATGCTCCAGCCGTCCAGATCGCCTTCGGGACATTGCTGACCGCTTCAATGTAGACCATGATGCCGTACTGGACAACGTCCTTTATGCCCGTGCATATACCAGTAAGAGCCCCATGTAACTGCTGCTTGGGCTGTTTCAAGGTTGGCGGCACTGATTTGCTATTGAGTTGATCCTTACAACATTTTGATGCTGTTCTGTTCTCTTTGCATTTTGCTTTCCTCCAAATTTATTTAGTCAGTCCACAGATTTTATCATCTGGCAAGGCCTGAGGTATTAAAATGCCCTCAGATGACTTCTTGTTCTTGTCTTTGAAATGGAGAGTAACATTCTTTTTGGATAATGTAGCCTTTGGCATGCATGCTAAGGCAGAATGTGAAATCATATTTAATAAAGCCATGAATAATGAAGAAAATCCTTTCAGGACTCTCTTTTGCTTGCCTCCAGGACCATAAATGATTTTAGCCTCTGCTTCTTCTAGCTGTTATAACATTTTCTCACTGCATTTCCCACCAGGTGAACATCAGATGGAGCTACTTGATTATGTAGCAGCAAAGTTCCATGAAGAAGCCGGCATCTTCAAGCTATTGGTACAAGCTTTTCTATACTGCTCCCTCACAGAGCTATTTAGTGTATTATTTTTCTTCTATTGATTCCAATCCAAATTAATTTCTTTCCATTTCCATATTTATTTTTACATTAATCCTGTGCAGATCATCGATTCAATAATGGCACTTTTTCGAGTGGATTTCAGCGGTCGTGGGGAGTTGGCTGAACGGCAGCAAAAATTGGCCCAGATGTTGTCACGACTCCAAAAAATCTCAGAAGGTAGATTTTTAAAATAAGTGGTGCTATCAGAATAGCATCGTGACTGTTGAGTAGGCTTCACAGAGAAGCTCAGAATAATGTCAGGAGGCAATACACGTTTAAAAATAAATTTACCTTCATGGGAATGCAACCCTTTTTTTTTTTAAATCAAAATACTGATTCTGATACAGTAAGTACCTAAATAGTAATAACAATAATAATTTTAAGGAAGTTAATCTATGTTACCAATGAAAAAATAGGAATGTAATATTGTTTATAAAATCAATTCATAGTACAGTATTTCTAAACTCTGAAATCTAAGCAGTGAACTTTTTATATTGCCATCATTAGTTTCTTAATTTTATTTCTTGATGCAGAATATAACGTGGCTGTGTTTGTGACCAATCAAATGACTGCTGATCCAGGAGCAACTATGACGTAAGCCCCAATATTCTGCTTTTGTATTTCCCAAAGGTTAATATCAAAAGGGTTAGAGTGAAGAACAGAAAATAATTCCAAAATGATTAGTCCCAATGTGGGCACAAATATATCACAAATTACTCTATTGCACGGTGAATATTACTTCATAATTGCAAATATCACTTGTTATCCGGAATCTATTTTTCTCTAGTTCTCTATAGAATAAAGCAATAGTTTTAACCATTGTCAGAGATACTTTGGGCTCCTCTTTTGTCTAGGGCTAAAAGGATATTAGAGGACAATAAGAAAAAGATAAAAAATTATATCCCATTTACATGAATGGCTTTTATTGTACTGATAAGCCATCAGCCTAAAAACAAACAAACAAATAAAAAAAAAAAAACAAAAAAGAGGCTCTCCGCAGGATATACAAGGATACATTTATAAGAGGTCCAATGAGAGAAGTCTCCTGTTAGAAGAAACAGAATTTCAGTTCACACTTAGGCATGTTCAGAATCTGTTGAGGTGTTCGTTCACATCACATACTTTTTGATGTCTTTGCTTGACAGATGACCGTGAACAGAAAATAAGGAGAGCTAAATAAAGTAGGATGATGAAAACAGAAAATTCAAAGAATGATTAGTTGCCATGATCAAACATTTTGAGCATTATGTATCTGAATAAGCGATCAAAATTACCCTGAATTCGTGATGTCGATCTTTCCAGCAAGTTTTTATTTAGAAAATTGTTTAACCAGAGAAAAGTTACAAGACTAGTACAATGAATACACATGTATCATTCAGCTAAGTTCTTCTATTGTAAACATTTGCTACATTTTTTTCCTCTGATGTTTTGTGTGTCCCTGTGTGTATGCATACGTGTAAACTCTCTCTGTACGCACACACACATACTCAAATATACATGTGTGTATTTTTTGGTGAACCATTTAAGAGGTTTTCCACCTGAACTGTTGAGAATTATTTACAGACATTAGGACCCTTCTCCTCTTAATAATTCAGCATACTTCTTGCAAGAACAAGAAGATTCTCCTGCATAACCACAGGGTAACTATCACCATCAGGAAATTTAACAATGGCACACTCGCATTTTCTAACATACATTTATATTCCAGCACCTCCAATTGTCTCAAAAATGTCCGTTATAGTTGCTGGGGTTTTTAATTTTGTTTTTGATTCAAGACTAATTTAGTATCACATACGGCCTGGAGTTAGTTGTCTTGTCTCTTGAGTCTCCTTTCATCAGAATGGCTCTTCAGCATTTGTTAAGCTTTTATGACACTGACAGATGTGTGTGGTTTTTTTTAAGATTTTATTTATTTATTTGACAGACGGGGATCACAAGTAGGCAGAGAGGCAGGTAGAGAGAGAGGTGGAAGCAGGCGCCCCGCTGAGCAGAGAGCCCGATGTGGGGCTCGATCCCAGGACTCTGGGATCATGACCTGAGCCGAAGGCAGAGGCTTTAACCCACTGAGCCACCCAGGCGCCCCAACAGTGACAGTTTTGAAGAGCACAGGTCAACTGTTTTTCAGAACGTCCCTCAATTTGGAGGGTATTTTTCCTCATGATTTAAAATGTTAAACATTTTGGCAGGAGGATTACATAAGCAATATTATGGCCTTCTCCATAGATCATATCAAGAAGCACATGATGGTCGTTTGTCCCATTATTAGTGATGTGAAGTTTGGTCATGGGATTACGATGGGGTTCACAAAATTTCTCCATTGTAAAAGACCTTTTTGCTTTTATAATGAATAAGTGATTTGTGTTAGAGTAATCTGAGATGTGTGTGAATATCATGTCCTGCAGTTAGCTCTTACCAGTTGGTTTTAGCATCCATGGAAGGTTCTTGCTTAAATCAGTTATTACTCTGATGAGCGCAATATTTAAAACCAAGGCAATACATCATTTAGTAGCAGATAAACGGGTCAATGACATATGTATTTGAAGATATTCAATCCAAGTAAATTATGTAAACTGTATTGAAATGAATGTATCTCTCTTCAAGCATTCTCTGTTTTATTCTTTCTTTCTTTTGTAGATTTTATTTTTAAGTAATCGCTACACCCAAAGTGGGGTTCAAACCCACAACCCTGAGACCAAAAGGTGCTCCACTGACGGAGCCAGCCAGGCACCCCTATTTTTTAATTTTTTAAAAAGGCTTTATTTTTAAGTAACCTCTATACCCAGTGTGGGACTCAAACCAACAACCCTGAGATCCAAAGTCACAGGCTCCCCTGACCAAACCAGCCAGACACTCCCCTTCAGGCATTTTCTTTTTTTAAAAGATTTTTATTTATTTATTTGACACAGAGAGAGAGAGAGAGAGAGAGAGAGATCGCAAGTAGGCAGAGCAGCTGGCAGAGAGCCTGATACAGGACTCGATCCCAGGACCCTGAGATTGTGACCTGAGCCAAAGGCAGAGGCTTAACCCACTGAGCCACCCAGGTGCCCCCTTCAGGCATTTTCTAAACTAACCCTAAGAGTATTGTTGCATCTTCTGCAATTTGTATTTCTCCCTTTTCAATACCCTTTTTATGAGTATTTAATCACAGGAGAGTCCAATGTGAAAAATATTAACTACATGAATGGTATTAAGCAAGTTAAAAAGACTGAGGAGGGGGAGATCAACCATTTATTCGTGCAGTAAATACTTATTGAAAATCTATGTATCAAGATTCTGGGAATTCACTACTGCACAAAAGAGACTATGTGCCTTGACTCCATAAAGAAGAAAATAAGTGGTGTCCATTTAACTCAGAATTGTGAAGACTTGGTAGGTCATGCATTATCTGTAGTCCTTGAGTAGTTAAGGCAATCTTCTCCATTTTATAGGGTGTCTTTCATACACAGGACATAAAGTACTTCACAAAGAGAATAATTTTAAACTGGAGAGAAATGGAAGATTTTCAGGGCTCACTTTAAAAAGAGAAAATGACTCATTGGCTCAGAGGGAGGAAGTGGGTTGCATTCAAATAAAACAGTATGAGTTAAAGAGCAGTGTTCTTTCTTCAGGTGTGGGGAGGGAACACTGCAGAGGCCAAAACTGTCTATCTGGGGTGAGAAGGCAAAGGAAATCTGTGGAAATTAGGTCAGATAGGGGTTCTTTTTCTTAAATTTGTAGACAGTTTCAAAAAGAGTAAAACCATTTTGAATTGACTCCACTAAGACAATGAAAGGGAACAGAGAGAGATGACAGAAAGAAACAATTGTAGGAGCTGGAGAGGGGAGATTTATAGTGAAGTGATCTGAGAGCCAGACAATGTAGCAAAGGCTAATACTTTTGTTGGATGACTCTGCTTTGAAGCTTCATATCCCTCACCAAACCAAGTTGTAAGGAATCAAGGTTCACTATAATTAGTATATTCTAAAGTATATTAAATTATAACAATATAAATTAAATGTGTGTCTTTATATAAAGCAATAGATTGCCACAACTAAATGAAAAAAATAAAAAACAGTACAGTTTTAAACTAAAGGAACTCAAATGCTATTAGAAAACCTCCCATAAAGAAAAGCTTTGTTTCTCGGTGTTAAAGAACTCCAAGCTGCAGCTTGCCTGGGACCTGTCAGAGAAATATCACCATAATTGGTATGAGTCCCCAAGTATGCTGACAATAATTGAGGCTTATGTCCCATGCATTATACTTGATGGCACATCGTATTAAAAAGGAACAAAATTACAGAGGCGGGGAGCTGCTGTATGATACAGCAGAGCATTAGCTCCTAGACGAGGCTTACAGAGACAGATTTTAGAACTAGAATGATCCAGTTGATGAAGGCCTGGAGATAAAAAGTGAAAGGTATCAGCCTGCAAATCTCCACACCAGGGCAGAGAATATGAGCAACAAATAAGACCATGACCTACTCACCTACTCTGTGTATCTGTTAGCTAAAACCAAAAGTCATCTTAGAACATTTGCAAGTCTTGTAAATGTGCAGTTTGCTCTCTAAGTGTGTCACTCACTGATTCAACAGCATGCCCGTAAGTTAAGAAGCAATATGGTTCAAGAAAAAACATTAAGCCAAGTTCAGAAGCATGGTGACCTTGAGCAAGTCGTTTAAACTGAACTTTGGGGTGCCTGGCTGACCCAGTCAGAAGAGCATGTGACTCTTGATTTGGGGGTTCTGATAGGTCAGAGCCTCATTATGAGCCCCACTTAAATAAAAGAAAAACTTAAAAAATAAATAAGTAAAAATAAACATATGAACTCCATTAAAAGATTAAGAAGGCTTATATTTATTGATTGCTGCCAGGTGCTTTTATGTATTGTCTTAAATAATTCTCTTATCAACCCAGCTCAGCCTCCCTGTGCCTCCCTCTTCCTTCTATGAAACCAGTCTCCAAATAGTGCTATGTTCCCTGCCCCAGAATTCCATCTTCAAACTTTTGAAAAAAATGTAGATTTTTCTGCCGATTTTATGAGAAAAGTAGCAGGGTGGGGAGATAACTTAACAAAACTTCTTAAACATACCTCTTATTATATTTTACTTTTTTTTTTTTTAAGTAGGCTCCATGCCCAGTGTGGAGCCCAGCACAGATCTTGAACTCACAAGGCTTGAACTCCAGGGCTTGACCTCATGACCCCGAGATCAAGACCTCTGAGCTAAGAGTCGGACACTTAACTGACTGAGCCACCCCAGTGTCCCTAAACATAGCCCTTTTCAAAAACCATCTCTTCTTGGGGGTGCCTGGCTGGCTCAGTTGTCGGAGCACGTGACTCTTGGTCTCAGGGCTGTGAGTTCAAGCCCTACATTGGCTGTAGAGATTACTTAAAAATAAAATCTTAAAGTCTCTTCTCCTTCCCCCCAAATTTTCTTTTTTTGCCGTACTCTTCTTTCCCTATCTTCCCCTAATCTCAAAGAATCCTCCTCATTCCTGGATATGTTCACTCAGCCTTTCTCTCCTCAATAGATCCCGTCTCAAAAATTGCATCCAGAGCTTCCCCCTGCAGCCGGTCCAAAGGACCAGGGGTTCTGCTTCCCTCAGGGACAGTATCA